TAAAATTTCGTGATTTTTACTGTATAATAAATACTTAATAAATGCTGTTACTGTATGTACTACGCGAAAAAAAAAAATCTTATTCGTACTAATAATACAGTTATAATACAGTACACCCTCACTATAGTGAATCCTATGGGCTGGAGATTAAAATCCTTTATAGTGAGAAATTCACTATACTGAGGGTCATTTTATTATATATATAAAAAATCTGTACCTGAAGTGTTTCGGTAATCCCAATCTCCTATTTATAAAGAAAACACTATTAATACACGTTAACTCTTTGTTATTAACATAGATTGTAAGATCTCGAAGTACCATAATATTATTATCTTGTTGATTTCCCGTTCATTCTATGGAACAAGGAACCATTATCGTTATGTTGTTGTAAATCATTAATTATAGTACTGCATTATATAATCATTTGTTGAAGCCGTAGAAGTATGATGATGTTGATGTTGCGTTGATTGAGAAGTTGGATCATAAAAAGTATTCTCAAATGTTGTTGCATTAACATACCATTAAGTGATATATCAATAGTCGGCGGCGATGATTGAAGTGAAGGAATCGATGACAACGAAGTTCGTATTTAGTATTATCATACATTTGTTGTGCCGGTTGCAGTTGAGACTGTGGTTATTGACTAACTCTGATAATTGATGGCGTCAAATAGAATAATTTGGAGTAATGATGGTGGACTAGTGGTAGAGATATTACGAGTTATACTATTAACATGATTATCAATAGATTGGCGCTGCGGTACTGCGATTAGCGCCGAATTTTTGTATCTTTTTTTTATTTAATAAAAAAAAAAAAAATTTTCGTCTTTTCAGGTCCAGATCAGCGTTGCAGTACTATGGTAAGCGCCGAAATATCATTTCTCTTCGTTTCATAAATTATTTTTATATAATTCTTTTTTTTTTTTTTCGTCTCTTTTAGGTCCAGATCGGGTTCGGCGAGGGTGCATTAACTCGAGGTAAATAAAGGTAACGTCTGTTTCTTTGGAAGAATTAGTGATTGAATATGAAAGATTATTACCTCCTCCTCTGATCGAATTATTAAATCCGTTTGATGAGAAGGTCGAAAATTACTTCACACTTATTGAAGGTAGATTTTAACCGGTGGTTTAGGACCAAAGGAGGCAGCTGAAACGAAAAAAATTTAAAAATAGGGAAATGTGGAACTAATTAAGAAACATTATTGAACCAGAAAAAGCAAATAAAAATTTTTCTATTAATGCAATAGATAGAAAACAATACATTATCAAATAATTTATAATGTGCCGACCGTAGACTAATTGTAGATATAGCAATAATTCATAAAATGAAATTTCTTTATTAGATTAGGGATTATTGATTGTTTTTAAAATATAATAGGTTCTTTATAGATTAGTTTTTTTTAAATAGATAGTTATAACTAATCTCATAACAACATGAGCTTTATCATATAGCGTATGTTGTTAGACTTTCGTAATACATTTAAAGTTTATCATTTTAAAATTTATCATGTATTAAACTATTAATATCAATTACAAAGTGGTTAATAAATAACCATAATAATAAAAGTTTTATCCATTTATGATAGATATATTTACGGCATTATAGCATCAAATTAAATTATGGCATCACTACAGTTATGAAGTAGGGCATTTACGAATTATTGCATATGTAAAAATGCTGAAATGCCGTAATCGGGAAATTTAGACAGCACCTATGACATTATACTCGTTATTATTAATATTTACTCCTGTATTTTTAACTTTTTTAGTACGTTCCATCTTATCAAAAAAATAACATCAAATAAAATAAAAATAACGAAATAAATTTACCATGAACCGTAAATCAAACCAAGTTATATCATAATGCTGAACCAGCACTATAAAGTTGCATAGGATAGATACTGTATTACGCTAGCAAAGAAATGGTATATCATAATTAATAATTATTCGTAAAAAAAAAATGTAAATAAATTCTGTAATTTTTCTTTATACTTTCGTTATTTAAAAATCATTTTTTTTTAATTCAATTTGATTTTGGTTTTAACTCATTTTCATACTTTAAGCAAATTAATAATATTCTTTATCCGTTATTTCTGTAAAATGCTTTCACGGATCCATTCACGGAAAATGTAAATAATTCGATAAATTCCGTGATATATTGATTGTATTTCGGTATATACAAATTTCGGTATATCGTGTATGTTAATGGGAATTTTACAATTAATTAATTTGTATTAGAATTTGAGAAAGTGAATTTAGTCAAAAATCGGAATATTAGAAAAGATGTACACAGTGAAATTCGATAAACAGTTCCACTAAAAATATTCGGTTTATCGGGATATCCGGTTTAGCGAAAAAATTTCAATATATTGAAAATCTATTATACTGAATTTTTTAAAAAATTTTCATGCTAATAAAACTAACATACACTATAATTTATTTTTTTCATCTTAGTTTTAAGTCATAGAAGTCATGAAATGAATATAAAATATTTTAATTGAATAAATAAGTAATACATAACTTCAGTCGGAATTAAGATTTTTATAATTCCGGCCAAAATTAAGATTTACCGCATCACGTTACTTAAATTTTATTGGTTCGTGATCACGTGATCCGGTTTATCGAAGAATCATTTTTACAATAGCTGGTTAGAAAATTGATCCGTTATAGCGAATATCGAGCTTTTACTAGTAAACTCCGGTATATCGAAGCTGTTTTCATAAGACCTGGGACAAACCGAATTTTTAGATGGGCACGTGATCCTGATTTGATAGTTTTGATTTGTAAAATAAATAACAACTGAACCGGATCGGTGGGTCGGCGGTCAGGTTCAAAAATTTATTTTGTCCCAGGTCTTATGAAAACAGCTGTAATATACGTGATTTGGTTCCAGCAAAAAAGTCCGGTTTAGGCCCAAATCCGGTTTATCGAAGATCTGGTTTATCGAATTTCACTGTGTATTATGTAATTAATTTGATTTACACTTAATCCCGCTATCCGCCTATCGAAATGTCAACGTAAAAGGATCAACTGCATCTCTTTTATACAAAAAAAAAAAAAAAAGTTTTAGAACTCGTTCCTAAACCTGATCTTAAGGGGTTCCATCTTAAGAATGTCGCCTGTTCTCATTAGGGAAAAGAAACGTTATAAGGTTATTAATTCCGAAAATATGAGCCCTTTTACGGAAAAAAGATGGTATATAAAAAACGGATCAACTATTTACAGGGACGGTAACACTTGATACATCTACCAGACTTATAAATCTCAGGATTACGTTTGTTTAAAAGATCGATAGTCGGTAATAGTTCTAAAATATTCTTAATATTGGATGAACCAAGTCATTATTTTTAAATGAAATGTCTTGATTATAATCTTCCATAATAATTTAATATGACCTATTCCAATCAATTAGAGTATCAATCTATGATGTCGATTAATATCTAAAATTAACCAAGATGCCTTATAATAACCTTGATTCAATTCTTTATAAAAATCCCTCGGGCACTTAGTAATTAGTTTACGATTCCAATAAAGACCAAATTCCTAAGAATTATCACAATTCAAACGCACAGACATTGGAATGAGCTTTCACCTTGATCAGTTTTATTACAATATTAGAGTCCTGTAGGAATAAATACAACATTTCCATTTTTCATAAGTATCTAAAGAACTCGAAATTTTTTAAAATCCTATTCGTCACAAATTATATGTAACATGTATGTCACTCAAAAAAAGTAACTGCGCTACATCAAAGTAAGTAAACTATAATAATATAATTTTTTTTTCTATCTACCATCTTAGACACGCTCGGCTTTATAAAAATTATTCCTCCTACAAATTCTTTTTTTTTTTCCTTTTTTCATATTAAAAAAATCTATTAAACAATAAAAATTTAAATATTCTGAAAGAACTTAGGTGTGGAATATTGTAATATTTTATTTGCAATAAACGCATCTTCTATAATATTAATTTTAACACCTCAGGTTAAATTAGCCTCGAGTGGCTAATAAGAGTCATTTAAAAAACAACAAGTATGAAACACGTGTTAATTTTCATTAATATTTTAGTATTTTTTAAATATTTGATTTCGGCGCTTTTGCTAAAATGAAATGGGCTTAGGAAATATTAATTTATATAAAAACAACTTTAATATTCATAACAATATTTTAATATTTATACGAAATTACTATTGTTTTTATTGTTTTTTCACTTTACAGCTTATTTTAGTACTTTTTAAATGAAACAAGGCTTTAGAGATTAAGTAAAGGCATTTAAAAGATGTAGGTTTGCTCTTTTGGAGAATTTCTTAATATACACCGACGGGAGGACGGGAGTTTCAAATGCGTATCACGTGACCTTATAACAAAAAAATTAATGTAAAAAAAAAAATCTATAGCAAGTGTAATTTTGCCTGTTCCGCAAGTTTATTTAAAGTGCAAATATGGTTTTGAATGTCATTTTTGACTTATTTAACAAATATTTTTTTAAACACACCCCGAGAAATTGTCTAAGTTTTATTATGACGGTTTGAATATTTTAAAGTAATTAGTATTTTTCTTACGTATATTTGAAACTATTTCATTAAAAATAATGTTTATCTATTTGCTTGTTAAAGTTGATTTTATTGTAATAAAAGTGTAAAAATATTAAAAATATTAAATTTTAAATGTACTTTACTTCTATAAAAGTAATAAAATGAAAAATTGAAAATTATATAAATAAAATACTATCGAAGATAAAATAAAATTATTTATTTTTTGTCCCATAATAAAATAAAATTTTCATTACCCCTAGTTTAAATAGGAATTCCACAATCAAAACACTCAGATTTATCATAATTTTCAAGCTTTCTAGTGAAAGAATCAAGTAGCCGAGATGTATAAATAGCCTGTGGATGAGTATGATGAGTATCTAATTGGCTATTTTCAAAAAATGGAAGATTTGTTCTTCTATATTTCTCTGCTTCTCTAAATTGATTAAAATATGCATTACATAATAACCCAATAGATTCTTCTAATTCAGTGACATCTGGTCTATTGATAGGATCAGGATCCCAACACTTTTTCATTAAGTCAAGATAACATTTTGGTGCCTTGGGTTCATTTATTTCAGGTCTAGTTCCTTTACATAATTCTATTGCTAAAAGTTCATCATGGGCATAATTAGCAAAAGGTTGTTTTCCTGTTGCTACAAAATACATAACCATCCCAAAACTATATATATCTGCTGCTTGAGTATAAGGTTTTCCTCTTAATACTTCAGGTGCTACATAAGGCATAACTCCAAAAACACTTGTTTTATCTACATTATCAACTTCTTTGCACGACCCCATGTCTGAAATATATACATTAATATTTGAAGAAATCATAAAAATGTCATCAAATAAAATATTTCCAGTGTGCAAATCATGATGTACCATTTGTTTTTGATGAATTTCTTTAAGGTCACTAACAATATTCTTTAATACCTTTAATTTATTCAACCAGTTAAAACATTTATAATTGTTTTTTATCCAATCATTAAAATTTCCACCTTCTGCGTATTGAAGAACTATAATATAATCTTTTGTATTCGGATCTTGTGATATTCCATAAACTTTTAGAAATTTGTCAGAATTATTAACTGAATGAGCTTTAATCTAATGAAAAATAACTGAATTATTGAATTATACCAAATATTTAAATTAAATTATAAATTAAATACATACCTCATTCAAAAATTCATTGGTAATATCTTGTGAATTTTTTAAATACTTTAAAGCGACTCTTATATTCAAATTCCTTTTATATTCCTTTATATCTCTATCATATTTTAGTAAACCATCTTTCCATATTGCTGAATATACTGTAGAAAAACCACCCTCACCTATCTTTTTAATATTATTAAACTGGTTATATGATATCCATTCAAATACTGTATCGTTGTGATCATTAATTTCTAATTGTAACCCATTAATAAAATCATCTATTTTGTTATTCCCACTTATAAAGTTTTTAAAATATTCAACAAAAATAAAATCCTTTGTATTTGGATTTTGAGATATTCCATATATTTTAAAATGGTTACTATCATAATTTTTAATAACCTATTAAAACAAAAAAAATGTTATTATATAATAATATGCTAAAAAAGTAATGAATTAAATTTTCATACCTCATCTAGAAATTCATCTATCACATTTTGTGCTTCATTAAAAGATGGTAATAAATCTTGTCTGAAATATTTTAATTTGACTAGCTTATTAGAATTCCTTTCATACTGCATTGTATTTGTATTATATTCCAATGGACCCATTTTCCATTTTGCTGAGTATATTGTAATAAGATCATATTTTTCTATTTTTTTAATATCATTAAACTGATTGTATGGTATCCATTCAAATATTATATCATCACGATGATTAATTCCTAATTGCATTTCCTGGATAAAATTATCGATTTTTTTATGTCCACTGCTCCAACTAATAAAATACTTTCTTAAATAATTTGTTTGACATTGCTTACACCAATTTGCATTTGTATACATTTTGTTACATTTTATACAACACTTTTCATTATTTTTTAAAATTATAGTATAATCTTTGGTATTTGAATCTTGAGATAATCCATATACTGTAAAATTATTCAAATGTGCTTTAACCTATTAAATGTAAATAAGGAATTATTATTGTACTAAAAAATTAATTGAAAAAGGTCTCATACCTCGTTTAGAAATTTATCATCATTTCGTAAATTAAATAAATATTTTAGCACAGCTTTATTTTCTGATATTCTTGTATAATTCCAATATAATGGATCATTCTCCAATTTTGCTGAACATACTATAGAAAAATCATCTTTATCTACTTCTTTAATGTCAAGAAATTTATCACATGGAATCCATTCAAATATTACATCATCTAAATCACTAAACTTTAACTGCATTTCTTGAATAAAATTATCAATTTTTTCGTTTCCACTGTTTTGATCAGTAAAATTCTTTCTTAAATAATTTATTTTACATTGCCTACACCATTTATGATAATTTGTATTTGCATACATTTCGTTACACTTTATTATATGACAATTTTCATTATTTTTCAAAATTATAATATAATCTCTTGTATCCGGATTTTGAGATATTCCATATACTGTATAATTAATTATACATGTTTTAACCTATTAAATACAAAATGACAAATTATTATTATATTAAAAAAAAAATTTTCAATTTAATATAAAAATTTCATACCTCATCTAGAAATTTATCAACATCTCGCGAATTATGTGAATATTTTAACATAACTTCTTTTGGTTTTCTTATATATTTATTGTAATTCCAATATAACGGACCATCCTTCCACTCTGCTAAACATCCTCTAGAAAAGTCATCCTCATCCATTTCTTCAACACCAAGTATATTATTATATGGAATCCATTCGAATATTATATCTTCTAAATTACTAATTTTTAATTGCATTCTTCGAATAAAATTTTCAATTTTTTTGTTTCCACTTCTCCAATTAATAAAATTCTTTATTAAATGATTTATTTGGCATTTTTTGCACCATTTATAATTTTCATTTGTATACAAATTGTTACATCTCATACAATACTTTTCATTATTTTTCAAAATTATAATATAATCTTGTGTAATTGGATCTTGTGATATCCCATATACTGTAAAATTGATTGAATACGCTTTAACCTATTAAGTGTTAATAAATAAATAAATTATTTCATTAAAAATGATTCAAGTTCATACAAATTTTCATACCTCATCTAGAAGTTCATTAACATCTTGTAAATTATGAGAATATAATACAACTTCTTCTGGTTTTCTTATATATTTATTAGTATAATTCCAATATAATGGATCATCTTTCAATTTTGCTAAACATATTGTAGAAAAGTCATCTTTATGCACTTCTTTGGTATAAAGAAACATATTATATGGAATCCATTCAAATATTATATCCTCTAAATCACTAATCTTTAATTGCATTTCTTGAATAAAATTTTCAATTTTTTCGTTTCCACCGCTCCAATTAATAAAATTCTTTCTTAAATAATTTATTCGACATTTATTGCACCATTTATAATCAACATTTGTATACATATTATTACATCTAATACAATATTTTTCATTATTTTTCAAAACTATCACTATAATATAATCTTCTGTATTTGGATCTCGAGATATTCCATATACTGTAAAATTGATTGAATATGCTTTAACCTATTAAGTATAAATAAATAAATAAATTATTCCATTAAAAATGATTCAAGTTCATACAAATTTTCATACCTCATCTAGAAGTTCATTAACATCTTGTAAATTATGAGAATATTTTAATACAACTTCTTTTGGTTTTCTTATATATTTATTATAATTCCAATATAATGGACCATCCTTCAATTTTGCTAAACATATTGTAAAAAAGTCATCCTTATCTGCTTCTTTGATATCAAGTATATTATAATATGGAACCCATTCAAATATTATATCCTCTAAATCACTAATCTTTAATTGCATCTTTTGAATAAAATTATCAATTTTTTCGTTTCCACTGCTCCAATTAATAAAATTCTTTCTTAAATAATTTATTTGGCATTTTCTGCACCATTTATAATTTGCATTTGTATACAGATTATTACACCTTATACAATACTTATCATTATTTTTCAAAACTATAATATAATCTTTTGTATTTGGATCTTGAGATATTCCATATACCGTAAAATTGTTTGAATACGCTTTAACCTATTAAATATAAATAAATAAGTAAATAAATAAATAAATACTGTAAATAAATAAATACAAAATTTTATACCTCATCTAAAAATTTATTAACATCTTGTAAGTTATGTGAGTATTTTAATGCAACATCTTCTGGCATTCTAACATAATCATTATATAGGCTAATCCAATATAATGGACCATCCTCCAATTTTGCTAAACATATTATAGAAAAGTCATCCTTATCCATTTCTTCGATATCAAGTAGTTCATATGGAATCCATTCAAATATTATATCCTCTAAATCACTGATTTTTAACTGCATTTCTTGAATAAAGTTATCAATTTTTTCGTTTCCGCTAGTCCAGTTTGTAAAATTCTTTCTTAAAAAATTTATTAAGCATTTTTTACACCATTTATAATTTATATTTGAATACATTTTGTTACATTTTATACAATAATTTCCGTTATATTCGTTATATTCCAAAATAATGATATAATTTTTTGTAGTTGGATTTTGAGATATTCCATATACTGTAAAATTAATCAAATGTGCCTTAACCTATTAAATATAAAATGATAAATCAGTATTATTACATTAAAAAAAGAATTTTCAATTTAATAGAAAATATTTCATACCTCATTTAGAAATTCATCAACGTTTTGTAAATCATGTGAGTATTTTAATGCAACATCTTTTGGTTTTCTAATGTAGCCGTTATATAAGTAATTCCAACATAATGGACCATCTTCCCATTTTGTTAAACATACTGGAGAAAAATCTTCGTTTACTTTTTTGATGTTAAGAAATTTATCATATGGTATCCATTCGAGTACAATATCCGTTAAGTTATTAATTTCTAATTGCCTCTTTTTGATAAAATTATCAATTTTTTCATTTCCACTGCTCCAATTAGTAAAATGCTTTATCAAAAAATTTATTTCACATTGCTTGCACCATTCACAGTAATCTGCATTTGTACGCATTTTGTTACATTTTATACAATAATTTTTATAATTTTTCAAAACTAGAATGTAATCCTTTGTATTTGGATTTTGAGATATTCCATATATTTTAAAATTAATTGAATATGTTTTAGCCTAATAAATACAAAATAAAATTATTATGATAAAAAGAAAATTTCATTTCAATAGAAAAATTTTCATACCTCGATTATAAATCCATCAATATTTTGTGAATAATGCGAATATTTTAACGCAACCTCTTTTGGTATTCTAAAATATTTTTTACTATTTTTATTCCAATATAACGGGCCATTCACCCATTTTGCTGAATATATTGTAGAAAAAGCATCTTCGTCTACCTCTTCAATGTCAAAAAACTCATTATAAGGGATCCATTCAATTATTATATCCTCTGGATCACTAATTCTTAACTGCATTTCTTGGATGAAATTATCAATTTTTTCATTTCCACTAGTCCAGTTTATAAAATTTTCTTTTAAATAATTTGTGTGGCATGGTTTACACCATTCATAATACAAATCGCAATATCTACATTGCCTATAGTTTGACATTATATTTTTAATTTTAAGAACGATAGGTACGAATTTATAGTACAATGCTAAACTGTGGTTTGAAAAGTCTGAATGTAAAAAAAAAATAAACAAAATTTACTTTTGTATAAAAACAATGCAAATCCTACGTTAAAAATGATCGACTAAAAAATAATGCAAGGATCAATGATTGGATGAAAATGGGTGACGTAGTGCGCTGTATTTAAATTACACAAACTTTCCTTAAATGGTTTATCAAACTGAAACTAGTATTGAATGCCATGTAAAATATTAGTTTGTTTAGCTTAAGTTTTTTTTTTTTTCGGAGCATCGGAACGTATAATTTCTTTTAAAATGCAAAAATACGATCAGACTGCATCCGCGACTCCTAGTACAGTGTTCATGTGTCCGTAAAATATATCGCAGATCATCGATCTGCGAATATAACGTTTGAATAAATGGAAAAAAAAGTCGGTAGCGCGTATATTTATAAAACTTGTAAATAAAACAAATTAAATTATCGATTTCTTTGTAATTGAATAAACTCAGTTTATCAAAAAAACTTTTTTATTTATTTACAAATTTTTTTTTTCTTTTTTATTATAATTTATGATACTACTATAATCGCGGGTAAATAACAAATTTCTTTTGGTTCACCATAAACATAATTCACATGTTTCGGTAATCCCAATCTCCTATTTAAAAAAGAAAACATCATTAATACACGTTAATTCTTTGTTATTAATATAGATTGTAAGAAGATCTCGAAGTACCAATCATATTATTATCTTGTTGATTCCCGTTCATTCTATGAAACAAGGAACCATTATCATTATGTTGTTGTAAATCATTAAGTACTGCATTATTATAATCATTTGTTGAAGCCGTAGAAGTATGATGATGTTGATGTTGCGTTGATTGAGAAGTTGGATCAAAAAAAGTATTCTCAAATATTGTTGTATAATGGGCTTCACCAGGTTGTGGAGACATGTAAAACGGACTAAATGATGAAGGCCACGTTTGTTGTGGTGATGTTGGTATAGAAGTAGGAGTATTGTGTATATTTGATGTTTGCAGTGGGATCAATTGTTGTCGAATCTTGTTAACATTACCGCTAAGTGATGTATCAATAGTTGGCAATGGTTGAAGTGAAGGAATCGATGCCGACGACGTTCGTATCTTAGCATTATCATACATTTGTTGTGACGGTTGCGCTTGAGATTGTGGTTGTGGTTGATTATTACCTCTGATAACTGCTGGCGTCAAAATAGAATAATTTGGAGCAATAGATATGTTTGTGGTGGTGGTAGTGATATTACGAGTTATATTATTATCATTATCATTAACTCGAGGTAAAGGTAAAATCTGTTTCTTTGGAAGAATTTGTGATTGTTGGATTATTGAATATGAAAGATCATTACCTCCTCCTCCGATCGAGCTATTTAATAATTCTTGAGAAGGTTGATAATTACTTCTCACTATCGATGGTAAAACGCTAATCGATGGCTTAGGCGCCAAAGGAGGCAGACGGAGCGTTTGTTCGTTCTCCACTAACATCTGAGCGTTCATTGGAAGCTTCGATACAGGTTGTGATTGTGTTGTTGTTGGTGATGCTTTATCCGAGGATGAATACTGATCCGTTATGGGATTATTATTGTTACTTTCTGCAACCGGATTTGATAAACTAGATCTTTGAGACTGCGTCGTCGCCGTATAAGTATCGTCACCTTTACCAAGAAAATTCGCATCCAAGTCAAAATAGAAGTCTTGATTTGTATAAAAATTAAAATCTTTCATTTCTGATGATGAATTTTGTTTTCCAATACCAGGTATTTCTTCCTCTGATGTAAGATCCTTTTGTCCATCATACTCATTATTATTAACATTTACTCCTATACTTTTAACTTCTTCAGCTATAGGTTCATTTCCATCATCAGAACCCTATCAAAATAAAATAAAATGGAATGGAATAAAAATAAAAATAAATGATAAATATAACGAAATGAAATTTACCATGAACCGTAAAATCAAACCAAGTTTTATCGAATAAAAAAAAACATACCTTGTTGTAGGGAATTGTACAGTCTGGATTAAATTTATATGTCATCCTGCTGTTCTTTATAAAAATGCCTTTACTAACAGCATAATTAAGAGCTTTCTTCGCACGTGCCGCAAAATTTTTAACGACGTTTTCAAAAAAAAAAAAAGAAAAGAAAAAGAAAAGTATAATTAACGTTAAATAAAAATTATTAACTTCAAACCGACCTTTTTATCCAGGAATGCATAGTCATTGCTGTACTACCGTTAGGATTCCCGATTTCAGACATCGCCTTTATATACAGATTTAGATAAGAATCTTTGCTATGTTCAGTAATTTCTTTTAAACCGCCTAGAGGTGGACTTGCTTCAGGAGTTATAGGCTCTTGTTGGGTATCTTGTCTGGGAACCTGAGAAGGCACATAATCAATATTTACAGGATTTAAAATTGGTGAAGCTTCTAAGGTTGACAAGTTCGACGTTTCAGCCTCGGGTAATTCTGATGTTTGTACATCTACAATTATTTCTTCTGTGTTTTGATTCGTCTCAACCATTTCATTATCTTTAGATGACATATTAACTGCAGCGTATTTTCCCAATATGTTTGCTGGATACAATGGTATATTAGGTTCTATCTGCTCCGCTAACAGCAACAGATTTACCAAAACATCTTGTGATAAAGACGATAAATATTCTACTTTCTAAAATAATTAGAAATGTTATTAATAATTAATAATATTCTTTAAACATTCTTGAATTTTCTAACTTTTTTTTTCGTGTAAATACCTGTTCTCTTGTCAGCACTGTACCAATTGATATAAGATCTTGACCATGTCCTTTATTCTCATTAATTTCTTGAATTTCTGGAGACTTATTGTCGACCTTTATCCGTTTATTTGAACGAGGTGAAATTTTACATTTTGCACATATCCACTCCGTTTGCGAATCTTGTACGACAATATCTTCTATTTTAGGCTTATGACACAACTGATGATAAGGCGCATCGCATTTATCACAAAATACGATCCAATTTTGTTTTGCTGAAGTACCATCACAGCAAATAGTGCATACTATATTATCTTCTTCAACATTCAGGTATATTCCAGATAGGTTATTTGGATCTGATAATACATTTTCAGATTCTTGTGAAACAATTATATCTTTACCCTTGCTCTTTCTACGTTTACCTGAAGAAAAACAAAATTAATTTACGTTGGTGGACTGCTCAATTTAATCATAACTTGATAAAAAAGATCCACAAACCTTGTCTTTTTGTTTTCCTTAAAGAATCATTAGCCAAGGGTTCAAACGAAGACCTTCTGCGTCCACGTCCAAAATTTGTAGGATTAAAATATTCTGGCCTTTGAATCTTTCTGCCAGATTTTGTTTTTGGATCATTATCTGAATCTAAAATCATTAATTGTTAAGAAAAAAGCAAAACGAAGGATATTAATGGTTTTATTTCTCAACTGCATTAAAAGTCTCATAAATTAATAAACTGCATTAAAAAAAATTACATTACCTAATGGATCATTCAGATCATTCAGATCATCCTCCTGATCATTTTTATTTTTGATTGGTGTCGTTTTAGTACCCTCAGTAACTGATAATTCTGTATCAGTTTTTGATTTCCTTGCACCCTTCTTTTGTTTTCCTTTTTGTGGTGATTGTTTAGATTTCTGAACTTTTTCAGGGGATTGAGATTTAATGATCTCATCTTCTAAAGTAACAACATCCTTTTGATCAATCAAAACTGATTGTACAGGAACTTCACTATTTTGTGCAGTATATAAATTACCAATATTTGTTTTACCAATTTCATCAGTCATCATATCATCCAAATCTTCTTCAAAATGAACAGTATCATCATTATTTTTATTTGTGGTAGATGATTTTGAAGCTTCGACCTCTTCTTCGTTATTTTGTTTTTCACCTCCCATAACATTATTCGTTGTTTGATCGTCATCATTAAGTGACGAAATTTGACCCGAATTAACCATATTATCATTAAAATCGAAACCACCGTTACCATTAAGTTGAGCAGGTTGTTGTTGTGGTGATGATGATGATGGCGGTTGAGTTTCGTGATGATCACCTTGTTGTTGCATAACTTCAATTTCAAAATCACCATCTTCTTCACACTATTTGATATAATACAAATTGAAAAAAAAAGAGAAAATTTTTATCAGATCAAAGTCGTTCAGTTTTTTTTAACACAAAATGCAAATTTTCAAAAAAGGATAATTGTGATCGTTAAAGATCAATATTTTCCACATATATATATATATACACATATACATATATATATTCTTTTCTTTTCACCATACCCATTCTTTAAACATATCTTGATTATTTTGATCATTAATCACATTATTAGCGTTTGAATGTGAAGCTTCATTAGATTCATCAGAGGATCTAGCGTTATTAACATCAGTAGCTTGATTTTCAAGATTATTCATTTTGTGGCTTTTTTTGTGGTAATTCTCTTGACGTTTATATTATCGCCTTAAGGGTTTTTGTTATTTATTTGTCAAAAACTATTAACTAAACTCCTAGCTATCAGTTATTTTTTAAAAGAAATTTCATTATTTTAAAAAAAAAAGCATTAAAAAGAAAACGATCCCATTTGTTACTCGTTAATATAAATGGCGAGAAAAAGAAAATGAAATTCTTGCATAGCTTTTTTTCAATACCTTTTTTTTCTTTACTCTTTATTTTGTTCTCTACTTTTTCTTTTCCAATTTTTATGAGAAAAAAAGAAAATATGTCGTGTTTACAAAAAAAAATGAAAAATATATTTACAACCGCGGTCAGAATAATAAACTAATATTCGTCGCGTAAAAATTCTTTACAATAAAACTAATAAAATTTTAAGATTTCAAAGAAGGAGAATAAACCTTTCTTCCTTGAAAAAGAGATAAAATATTTTTTTTATCTCTATTTTTTTTTTTTTTTCTTTTTCGCGAAATAAAGTACGAAAAAAAAACGGGGTAATTTTTTGAACAAAGGAATGAGAAAAAAAGAAGAAAATTTTATTTTTTTTTGATCTATATAAAGCAAAGTTATGATACACACATGCGCGATTTCTTTATATAGTTTTTGGTATCGGGAAGTATTCAATAAAAGATCTTTCTAGGTTAACTTTGTTGCAGTTATTAAAATTATTACGTCATTCAGAAAATTTTTTTTTACGTAGAATATATATTTATGAAGGAAAAAAAAAAATAATTAATAATATCTTCAGGGTTTTAAAATTAAAAATTTAAGGCTTAAAGAAAATCAAAACAAGCAGCTGTGGGAGTTTCGTTATCATTTATTTTTATTTACAATTGATCTACTTAATATTTAAAGTTTTATCTATCCTTCTAGAGAATGCTGTATCACAAGTTATTGTTCCGAATGGTGATCGTGTGATTCATTTTGATCATTTATACTTCGGTTTTGTCCGTAAATGTCATGATGAAAAAGTAAACATTTTAAATCATGACCTATAAATATTATATTGTTTCAACGCAGACGATATCATTTATTACTATGAAATGTACGCCCTTGATTTCACTTAATTCGTATATAATCTAACCAATAATTCACTAGCTTAAAAGAATTCATTCGAACATGTGTAACAGATTTAATTATTTTATATAAGACATGTTTGAACACAAAGAAATTTAGCTACTTATTTTGTATTGGCGCAGTACATATTGTCACGCAATGATTTTTGATCTAAACTAATTTATATATAAATTTATCCAAAAAAATTTTTTCTCCGCAATGGCGCAATTGTAATTTCAAATTGGTATATATATATATATTTCTATACGCATTTACTTTTTGTATTTATTATTTATTTTTGTCTTTTAAAGCTAATTCGTTAACAAAAAATTCTTTCAAAGAAAATAAAGTTGATTTAGTTGCTCTGTTTTTTTAAAAGTATTTTCGTATATTAACCCTCAAAGTATTTAGCGCTTTTGGTTTTTTTTCTTGCGTTGATTTTTGGCAAAAATGTGAATAATAGGAAAAAAATAAGTTTGTATTTTTTTTTTTATTTGTATCCTTTTTTTTCTTTTTTTTAACTAACTAAAGATTTTGGCTTTAATATATATATTGTGAAATTTCAAAAAAAAAATCCAATAAACAGAAGAAAATTTTTTTGATTGGTTAAAATTTATGGACGAAAACACGCCAAACGATTCGTTCTATAAATAAAGCATTGCAAAATAATTACTTCATATAGTACATTCCCCTGAAAAAAAGTTAGGTAACTATATTTACAAATATTATAACGATCTTCCAAGAGATGATACCATTTGATCAAATGTCGCATGATTTTTGTGTGATTACATTGTACATATTATACATATTATTGTAACTAATGTTATATTATTATTTTTAAATAGGTTTTTTTTACTAGTAATATTTATTATCACAATTTACGTCATGGCTGAAATCATATGATGAAATTTCTCAAGAATTCATATGATATTCTTTTTTTTATCGTTGGATTCTTATGCGAGATATTTTAGATTGGGTTAGGTTATATGAATCGGGATTCGGGATCATTCAGATTATCTTAGAAGAATTTGATAGTAATATGTTCTCGTTTTTAATTTTGAAATGAAGGAGGAGGAGATGGGGATCTTTTCCGCCAAAGCGAGCAAAAAAAAATAAGCGAATTATTTGAATTTGAATATCAAATAACGACGAACGAATGTATATAGTTTTATGATATTTTTACTTTCTAGATATTAATTATAGGAGCAGAGTGGATTAGAATGATTAAAATCGTAACTTATAACGCACTTGATGCATTTGCTCATAATGAAACGAATAATCATAATTTCTGTATAGATTAAGAAAAATTCAATTGTAAAGAGTATATTTTAAGATGATGGGAATTTCTATTGAGGTGTTCGCTCCGTTATTTTAATTGTTACGCTTTTATAATTAAATTAATTTATATTAAAAAATTATATTAAATGAAAGTAGTTTTTAATCTTAATTTCGTTATTTTATTCTTAGTATCTTCAATATTTAACTTTCAGATCTAAATGTTTAAGTTCATGAGTTCATGGTTTCATGCCATATTCAAATTATAAATAAATATATGCGTGGATTTATTCATTATAATATTTTGGCGCAACAGCAGGACGTCAGGACACGACGAGATTATTTGAAATTTTTTTTTTTTTTAACGCGTTAAAATATAAATATTTATTTTTTATTTTTTATGCATAAATTAATTTTACATTATATCATAGTCATACTGTGGTAAGGTAATATCAACGAAAATTTTAATTTGTTCAAAAAAACAAATTAATCTATGAAAAATTTAAACTTTATGATAGTTTCAAATTGGGGACTATGAGTCTATGACCAAAAATTAAGTAATATTTCAGCAGGTTTTAGTAATATTTGCTTACGACATATGAATTAGCTAATTATGCTATATGACCAAATTAGTTACGTCATATAAGTAACAATCTACCGTTTAATAAATTGCAAAAAAAAAAAAGATCCCTTTCGCATTTTAAGTAAACACGTAAAAAGAAAGTCATTACAGGGAGATACATATATATTAATATTGAAATAACCATTCACAAATGAACAAATTTTCAAAATTCACATACTACAAAGGGAATGAGATATGAAAGTAGTCATCGTTCGCGCTGTATCTATATGCATTATATAATAAATACTTGCATTGGAATAACATTTAAGGTTAAGTAGTATTATTTTCATGAACAAGTTTAAAACCAATTATTTATTAAAGGAAAAATACGTTGCCGGTAAACCAATTCCATGTGAACTTGTGTTAAAACATCATCTTATTATATTCTAACCATAATTTTATAAATACTTGCTATAATAATATTAATTATGTGAACGGCTACATAATGCATCATATACATTTCTTGAATCAAGTCCCGCTCATTTTTAAAAGTAGTGGATTGGGTAGGGTGATGGAGGCGCGATATAGTTCTGTGTCACAGCCACTTGCTTTTAATAAGCTCTGAGTGCAATCTTTCGATAGGTTGATCGTGGAACGGTATGTGGGAACATTTAAAATCCAAAGACTTATAATGTGTTTATAATAGAAGAATATCCAAGTAATTTGTCAAAATTTTATATTGTCATAATTAATGTTACTTTGGAACAACTAAATCATCATTGCTTTATTAAAGCTTATTTAACATACAAGATTTATTTAAAATAAATTAAATATTCTATTAAATTGCACATCTTGGTAATATAAATTCTTTTTTTATTAGGTAATTTAGTCAATAAAATTCTTCATAAGGCGAACGATAATTTAAAAATAAAAGGAGATCGTGTAATTAAGATAAATATTACAGTAAATTTTGAGCAGATTATTTATTCCTATTGCTACTTTTACACTTTTATTAATTTATAATTAACGAATGACTATAAAAAATTTTCTCATAGAATTTCACTTAATGTATGGAAAAGGTAATGAAAGTACATCGGATATTTCAAAATGATGCCGATTTAGTCAAGTCTTTTTTTTAAAAAAAAAATGCTGTCATCACCTGATCACCAACGTTGAGGTAGTAGTAACATAGATCAGGGGAAAGGACAAAGAGGAAGGAGGCGAAAGAAGGGTAAGTAACTGGTAAGTGGCAGGAGTGAGAAAGAGAGAATCACAAGGGGAGATAGAAGGTTGTAAAGGGGTTAATGGTTTCTGTACAAAAATTTTCTTGCGCGTGAATCATTGAATCATGCCTACGACCCAACTTGATCCCAACGTACTATTGATCCAAAATCATATAAACAGCACAGCGTGATCTTCAATCTGCTGTCAATGAGTATCTAATATTTTAATATAATAATATTTAAGTATCTCATAAGGCAAATTGAAAAAAAAATAGCCCTTTCTTTTCCCTTCTATTATATTTCGTCAAGTATGGTAAAGGTGAGGTACTCCACAGGGCATAAGTTATAAACATACTTGAATGTATATAAAAACTGAAGTTGAGAAACCTACTGTATACGAAGACTAATTTTAAATATGAAAATATGGCATTGTAATTTTTTTATAATTATGTTTATATTATAAAAAAGACGCTCTTTGAACCATTATTTTAACATAATTGTTATATTAACCCTTTAACTGTATTCTGGCTATATTACCTGGAATTTATTAATAATTTAGAAAAGTTACAGTTAGAGATGATCTAAATCAATATTCGTTTATAAATTTCCGATGGTAAAGGAAATTAAACGATAAATATTATTTAGGCTTTGAAAATTACAAAATTACAAAATTATCAAGTTTCTTTTTTCTATTGAATTTTAAAAGTTCATTATTTTTATTTTCATTTTAGATTATCTTAGACACTAAAGACGAGCAGTCGTGACAACGATAGTAAAACTTTTTTTGACAAGAACTTTTATTGCTTTTTGAAAAATAAGATTTATATTATGAAAACAAGAATATGAAAGACAATTAACTTAAATAAATTGAACGTAACAAAAAAACCTTAACTTATTTAAAAAATAAAACCAAATTCATTAATAATCAAAAAAGAAGGTAAAAATCCTGTATCTGCTGATTCATCACAGCACGCCCACTTCAGTACCCTGTAATCGATTAAAACTATTGCAGTATTCTTTCATTGGATAATCTATAAAACTATAAAACTAGATGAATTACAATATCAGACGAACACCAAAATTTCGTTCCGTGATAAATGATCACGAAATGTTTACTATATGTTACATAACTCGTATCCTATAATATGAATATTTAATAAATGTTTTGCTACTAAAAACGTGTACTATTATAAAATATACCAGCTGATAAAAGATCTGTATGTTCGTATCAAAGTTCTTTGGAACAATGAAAGGTGGTAAACCACAAATTTATGATAATTGCTTATAAACTGGTTCGCACAATCCTTTCATTCGCTCTTAGCTAATGTATTTCCTCTACGTAAATTTCCGTGAATAAGATCTAGTTAGTAATGTAATTTATTCGTATTATTTAATGTAAACATAGTTTGATAGGATTTAAATTTTAAACCCTAAAATTTCAAATGAGATCGCGCTACTTACTTTATTTCTACTGTATGTTTGGAATTGAAAATTTTGGCATCGTTAAATCCTACAGTTTTCTAGAATTAATAAAATAATAAGTTCATTATTTATCTAATAGTAAAGTAAAGAAAAATGCAGTAATGTTTACCTAGGCTAGTATTTGGAATTGTTTCATTATAATTATCTTCATTATTAATTGTAATTTTTGAACTTAAATCATTATCATCAATATACTTTGGAAGATCTTTTGTAAAGAGATTAAGCAATCTGGATGTATAAAAAGCTTGAGGGTGAGCAGATAATTGACGCTTTTTATTTGCTTTTCTATAACTTTCCGCTTCTAAAAATTGCTTATAAATTTCACGATCTTTTTGGAGAGGTAAATTCAAATTATAAATAGACTTTTCTATTTCAGTAACATTTGGTCTATTATCTGGATTTGAATCCCAACACCTTTTCATTAGGTTAATATAACATTTTGGTATTTCTAATTCGTTTATTTCAGGTCTAACACTTTTACATATGTCTAATGCTAAATTTTCATCATGTGCACGATCGTTAAAAGGTTGTATCTCAGTTGCTACAGAATACATAATCATACTAAAGCTATATACATCTGCTGCTTGAGTATAAGGATTTCCTCTTAACAATTCAGGGGCTATATAAGGCATAACTCCATAAATATTTTTTTTATCTATATTACCAATTTCTCCACATAATCCCATATCTGAAATGTAGTTAGAAGAAAAACAACTAATAGCTTCAAACAATATATTTCCTGTGTGAAAATCACAATGAATCATCTGTTTTTGATGGATTCCTTTAAGACCATTAATAATATTATTTAACACTTTCAATTTTCTTGTCCAACAAAAGTATTTATAATTCTTGTTTATCCAATGATTAAATTTCCGCCTTCTGCATATTGAAGAACCATGATGTAATCTTTTGTATTTGGATTTTGTGATATTCCATATTCTGAGAATTTTATCAAAATTATTTATTGAATATGCTTTAACCTAAGGAAATAAAAAATAAATATTATAAAATCATATTTAAATTAAATTAAATTTATAACAATCTTCTTACCTCATTTAGAAATTCATCACTAATATTTTGAGAATTATTCAAACATTTTAATGCAACTTTTTTGTTAGATTCTCTTATCCACTCATTTTTAATTTTATAATAACTTAATGGACCATCCTTCCATATTGCAGAATATACTACAGCAAAACCACCTTTGTCTATTTTTTTAATATCATTAAAGTGATTATAAGGTATCCATTCAAATATTATATCATGTATATTATTGATTTTCAATTGCATTTCTTGAATGAAAGCATCAACTTTTTTATTTCCACTAGTCCATTCTGTAAAATTATTTGTTAAATTATTTCTTTGACATTGTTTACACCATTCATAATTTATACTTGTATATTTTTCATCGCATTTTATACAATATCCTTTAAAATATTCAATATGCAAAACCATAATATAATTTTTTGTAACTGGATCTTGGGATATTCCATATATTTTAAGGATATTATTTTCCCAAATCATTGAATAATTTTAGCCTATTAAAAATATAATATTAAATTATAGTAAATCATAACCAAAGTTTTTATTTAAATTAAATTTACGAAAGTTAATTTCGTACCTGATTTAGAAATTCATCAATAAAATTCTGAGAATAATTTAAATATTTTAAAATAACTTTTTTATCTGATTCTTTAATCCATTCCTTTTTAACTTTATAATAATGTAATGGACCACTTTTCCATTTTGCTGAATATAATGTAGTGAAATTATGTTTGCATATTTCTTTAATATTACTAAACTGATTGTATGGTATCCATTCAAATACTATATAATCAAATTCATAGTATTGGTTTTTCTCAATAAATTCATCAACTTTTATTTGCATTTTCTGAATTAAACTATCAATATTTTCATTTTCATTAGTCCAACTGGTAAAAGATTCTTTCAAGTAATTTATTTTACATAATTTGCACCAATTGTAACTTGATTTTGCACATTTGCTGCAAAATTCATACCTTATTTAAAAATTCATTAATTAATTTTTGTGAATTATACAAACATTTTAGAACAACTTTTTTATTTGTCATTCTTTTATATTTCTTTTCATATGATATAGTGGACCATCCTTCCATACTGCTAAAAATATTATAGCAAAATCACCTTTGCCCATTTCTTCAATTTCATTAAATTGATCGTAAGGTATCCATTCGAATACTATATCATTATAGTTATTAATTTTTAATTGCATTTCTTGAACAAGATCATCAACTTTTTGATTTCCACTAGTCCAATTTATATAATTTTTTGTTAAATTATTTCTTTGACACACCAAATATTATGCATTCTACAAGTATTACAATATTTTAAAAAATATTGTTCTTCAAGGACAATAACGAAATTTTTCGTAGTTGGATTTTGAGATATTCCACATGTAAACAATTTTCCAGGAACCTATTAAGATTTATTATATTTAGAAAAAGGATTTAAATTAAATTTACAAAATTAATTTCACAATACCTCAGTGTATAATTTATAAAAGATATTTTGAGAGTTATTAAAAAACCTTAAAGTAACCTTTTTATCTGATTTTCTTATATATTTTTTTTCGTTGTAATCGTAAAATAATGGACCATCTTTCCATATTGCAGAATATACTATTGAAGAATATACTGTAGCAAAATTACCTTTTCCCATTACTTCAATATTATTAAATTGATTATATGGTATCCATTCAAATACTATATCATCATGATTTTTAATTTTTATTTGCATTTCTTGAACTAAATTATTGATTTTTTTCATTCTTACTGGTTGGATCTTTAAAACGCTTTCTAAATGACATGGTTTGCACCATTTGTTTGATACTACAGTAAATTTTTTACCGCATTTTTCACAGCACGTATTATTATCACTTTGTGATAACATTATATATACATGATTAACTTATTTTGTCAGACAACTTTTACAAAATTAGCATTCTAAGACTGCAGATCTAACCAAATAAATTCTGAAATAGTAGTCCTAAGATTTGACCGAAAAATGGATAACCAATCAGATTGTACTTACAATTAAGCGCAATTTTTGATCAATCAGATCATAAGATATGATTAACTTATATATATAAGTAGACATGTTGTCGTATCGTCGTGTCTTCTATTATAAAATCACAAATTTTTGTAGATCGGTATGACTGGCCGCTGACCGCATCAGCAACCAATTATCTAAGGTACAAATTCGCGGTCAGATCTAGAATTGAACAGTATCGGACATCTATTTCGCCGAAAAATAATCTCTGGCCTGAGTTATTCATATGCTGCATAATGTTGGCCTTATTTTTTGGCGAAATGTTCCGTAACCGAATTGAACAGGGCTAGAACGATCAACTATCAAGTGATACGACTGATATATGAACTATAGAAAATGTAAACTTCCCAGCTATATATTATAATTTATTAATGTTAAAATTAACTGTTGTTTTGCTTATATTAATTGTGAATAATCACTGTTAATTAGTCAAAATTTTACGACATTATATTAAGAAACTTTGAATTCTTTTAACGCAAGGTATGAATGATGTAAAACGTGTTAATTAAATTAAATAACCCAATTGATAACGTAATTGAATGGATATCACATGATCGATTTTATAATAAAGAAGTAATAGGTAAAGGTGAGTATATTCTAGTGCATTTCCTATGTGGTAGGCTATAATAGTGAATTAGTAATATTTCAAATGCGATTAATAAATTTTCTGCTTATTAGTTATGCATAGATAACCAATTACAGTATCTTTATTTATATTAATTTTTTTTTTATGTTCAAAGGAAATGACCAAATCTTTTTCCAAGGATGCTAATATTCTGTCATTAGAAGAGGAGGAGATAATCAAAGGGCTAGACTACCCGGTTAGTCTATTTATGGATACTTCAAACGAAGTGATCAAACAGAAATATACAAATTCTTTAAGTAAATCATTTATGACGCATGAATCTATATTGATATCTGGAAGAGAGACGCTTTTATCAAAAAAATACGATAAAGAAAGGTATTTGTATAAAAATAAAAATCCGATTTTTCACTACCTATATTTTGTTTATTAAAGGTTTGTTAAACATTTTTTATAAACACACATAACAAATGGATAGGTTCGACAATAAGATAAGTAGAAAGAAAATATGGTACACGCTAAATATAAATGAATTGATTTTACTGGATGGGATAGATAATGCTGCCGATCTTAGTCCATTGATGCCCATTATTAAATATACTTCAGGATCGCTTTTTTTCTCAACACGTGACATTTAACCAATCAAGTACGTTAGTTATTAGGAATCATCCAATTAAATTTTTAGATTCTTCGCTATGGTTCTTATAACGAATTGAGTTGTATCGAGGGCCGATTGTATTGTCTCTAGATTTTAAAAATTTTAAACCGTTATTAAGTCCGAAGTGCCATTAGTGCCATTTAAAGTTTTGTTGTTGCACATAGTCACGTGCCAGAGAGTGATCGGACCAGGGACGATGATTTTTTGCGGCGGTATAAAGTAAATTTTGTGTGTGATAAAAATAAATTTTGTGAAATTTTGTGATTTGGCCAGAATTATGCAAGGTTGGCCAACATTACTATTCGTAAATTCTGGCCAAATTTAGTGTCTGCCGGAATTATAATGATTTCAAATCCTAAATCAGGCCAAAAACTTGAAAATTATCAACATTTTTATAACCAAATTTTGTGATTTTCTGTGAAATTCTGTGATCACAAAAAATCATCGTCCCTGGATCGGACAAGTCGTCATCAAGCGTATATAGAAAATGTATTACTATTTTGAAGAACATAGTTTTGATTATCAGATGATCAGGTTATCAGGTTGCAAGATCTCTTAATTTTTTCACATTCACGCTTACATTTTCATTTTATCTTTATTGAAACTTATGTGTAATACTGGTTCTGGACTAAGAAATATTGTATAAACGTTCCAAGTGGTGCTTGTTGGACTCTCAGGTAGCCTTTCCTTTCCTTTTCTTTTAAATTTTATTTGAATAAATTTGTTGGATGTTGGTGAATGTTACCTTGTAACCCTGTAGCTATGATACCACCAGTCTCGCAGTGAAAATATTTTTTTTCGGGGGCGATATAGTACTAGCGGGTTATCGTGAAACTTGGCGTTAGTGTCCATTATAATTTCATTTATTGACTATCATAGATTTCTTTAATTCTATTATTAGTTATATTTAAATCAAGGTACCGTAACTTTAATATATGAAAGTTCTCTGTTAAGCTGATGTAAAATTTCTATTGAAAATAGCATTGTTATTTGATATAATAGAAAAAGTAAAGTCCAAGATTCAATGTACCAAAATTAGAAATTTCAAGATGTTTGATAAATAAAAATATCGTTTGCGAAAGAAGGTATTACGAAACGAAAATTCTTTGCTTCTCACTCTTAAATTTCAAGCAAGGGAGAAACACAACGAACCTTATGGGCGGAGTATGGAGTATTTCCAAGAATCTCACGACAGATTGAGTCTGCGATCATTTAAGGAAGATTCACGGAAATTCATAGATCTTATACATACTTAAGTAGAAGTTTGATATTAACTGAATACATTATTAATATAACTTGTAGTACGTACGTTGTGACGGTGAAGAATAGCGGATTATTAGACAATTACTAGTATGAGGAAATCAAATTTCAAATTTAGTTGATGATTTAGATGATAATATATTCGGCGAATTAGTTATGTATCTTCTTAACAGAGTTTATTACAGAACCTTTTAATGTTTTATTTCTAATTTTATTGTAATCAAAATAAGTCAAGGCTCGAAGACTATTAAACTGTAAATAAACTAATCCGAGATTCTCCCCAGGAATGCACTTTTACCACGTTATACATAGATCTGGCAGATAATTTAATATGTAAAAATTATAGATTTTCTCTTCTCTCGTTTTTTATTAAAATAAAAAGTAAACATATATGTTGGATATGCATTCAGTAGTGATTTTACAAAATGAATTGGCCATTGGGATTAAACTTAGATTTGTCTTGGATATTGATTCGTTTAACCCCGGATTTATCCATATTTCTTGTTAAACTTCACTGGGTGATTATTCTACCGACCTACTAGTATAGACCGGAATTTTTTGTCTATTTGTAATATATGAACAATTACTTTGACTTTAATGAATCGAATTATAAATAAATTTAATTAATAGTATAATGTATATTTTTTATAAGCATAGCTAAAACTTTCATAATAAAATCTTTTACTAAGATATTAAGTGATTTAGAAGAGATTAGACTACAGATATTAAGATAAAATGATGCTACATTTGTATTATTGTCATTATCAAAACGATCAAGAAAATTGTAAATTTCATGCGATATTCTGATCTTTTTTTTTTTAATGATGTTAGCATATTTTATTTTTGGTTTTTTAATTCATCAAGATCAGGCTTAAAATTCTGGTTATGCCATATGTGATAATCTCACTGGTGGTTTAGGACGATCTGGGTAAAACATGAATCAGATCTGGAATAAAGTATGGATAAAACCAGAGAAATATATTAATCCTCTAATTTATTTGATTGGATAAATATCACGTGTTTGATATCTTTATCAAGGTTTAATCTCAGACTTTTGATCAGAACGGCGTCTCATAGAAACATAGTCCATGCGACTGTATAATAAAGCTCACGGGTTTCACTTTTAGTAACTTTTAGTGCAAATTCAATATTATTAATATAATAATCCGATGCGATAAGGATGATTGACAGACAATTTAATTGATCGACTAACTCCCTGATCTGCAAAACGCGTGATTAATTTACAATTTTGTACATCTATAAATGGGTGGCTTACTTTTGAATTATATTTTAAATATAAGGGGAACGAGTTTAATCATTAATACCAACAATTTGGTATTTGGGAATCTATAAAGTCTGCATAGTCGCATGGCATTCAATCATCAGTATCATTATTTTTAATAATTACCGTATATTTTTTTTTATTATTTTTTCCTACGTATGTAAACAAAAAAAAAATTAGTGTAACTTTAGAATTGTTGTACAACAAAACACTTGAGACGTTAAATTTTGTCGATCAAATTTTAGTTTCGTTTTTAGTTTCGTACTTTTTAACTTACAAAGTTCCCGTCCCCAATTTTGTTGACGTATACTGAACTTTGTTAAGTCTTTACCCTTTATGTTAAGCAGGGTAACTTTAACATATTTGAGTATGTTATACAAAATTCTTTTATTAACCTCTTTCGTATTTTAAATTCCATTCGCATGCTAAAATATTGTTTCTTTAGATTTCTTTCAATTGTAGATTTGGAGTGCAGATTTGTAATTGTTAAAAGGTAAAGTAAATTATTTTCAATTATTAAGCGCTAATTTTAACGAATTATATATTAAATACTAATATAAACGATCATTAATTTTTAAAATATTTTGTTTATATGAAAATTTTTTTATATATTTAAGTTTAATGTTGCTAACCGTTTTCACTTAACTTTATTAAGGCCACAGTTCATATGACAAATTACACAACAATGTCTTTAAGACAGCATAAACCAAAGATAACGATAAATTACGATAGAAAAATTCGAGATTCTACATCAACGACAACTACTACTGCCATTCAATCGATTCCATTTAACGATGAAGGATATAATAAACATCACCTTGTAAACCCTTCACAAAAGGTTGATACTACAAGTAATTGGATGAAATCTGCAGATGGTTTGGATCTAGATAACATTACATCAAGTAGATTGCGTAATAGAAAATCTTCTGTGAAAGGTTCGATGTCTGAAGGAAGTAGTAGTGGAAGAACTTCATTACTTGGTAAAAGACCCCCTCCTAAATCATCATCTTCAACTGAGGATATAGCAGAATCATGTTCGCGACTTAGTGTTAATGATGAGTCTGATCTTCCGCCTCCTTCGAAGAGACGTGATGTTGGAGTTAAAGGAAAAGTTTCCGTTATTAAGAATCAAACGAATAATTTAGATGTTTTTGACTTTCCTGATGATGATGATAGTAAGCCTATACGACGCTTTAGCAATAAAACGTACACAAAAACTCATGATAAATTTATACGTGGACTTAATAATAAGACGTCATCGAAAAATAAAGATGACAAATCAACTCAAGGTTTCCTCAAAAAATCAGTCCAAACCGATAAATCGTTTTTGGAATTCAATACTAAAAATTTTGATGGTGTGAAAGGAATGATGAAATTACCTGATAATAATTTAGGTGGTGACTTTAAGATGACTCATGGAATAAAAAAACATGAAAATCATAGTAATATAATTGTAACAAATAAAATTTCTGAAAAGAAGATTGGTAACAATAACATCAAAGTGACTCACGGAATTGATAAGATATCTCAAAATAATTTAGGTGGTGATAGTGAAACAAATATGGTTTCATACAATAATTTAAATAATAATGTTAGTGCGACGTTAGGAAAAAACAAAACTAATAGTAAAAGTGATGATGTTAAAGTGACACGAGGAACAAATAAAACGTCAAAAAATGACAATAAAAAAAACGTTTTTGATTTTCCTGAATTTGATGATGGGTTGGGTGAAGTTGTAAAAAATATTACGAAAAGGAAATCTTTTACCATGTCTGACTCTACAAAAAAAATTTCAAAGAATTCTATAGATTCGTCTCGTGTTATTGATCAGAATTCATTTTCAAGTGTCAATATTTCATCCAAAGTTAATTCATCATCAACACGTATATCAAAATTTCTTACGACAAAAACGTCAAAATCTACCTCTTCAACAAATAATTGCTATTCAGATAATTGTAAAAACAATTCTTCTAGCGATATAAAACCTATGGATGTTGATGTTTTCGTTAAATTTTTCAGGGGAGAAACGAAAACAATACCAAGCTTACGAAGCCAACCAATGAGTGGATCACACGAACCAATCACCGGTATTGTTAATGATAAAACGAATAACCTGTTAAGCAATGATAACATTCGGCCCGCAAAGAAAAATTCCCAAACAATTACTAAAAGTGCGACGATTTCAAAAGAAAGTTCTGTGAGTAAACCTCCAAAGAAACTACGAAGAAATCAAATGCTTATAGACATTCCACAAGCTCCAAGTCGACCGATAACGGAAGTTGGTACACCAGTTTCTTTTTTGTCTTTTCAACAGAGAAAGAAACCAATTGAATCATCTGTATGGGAAGTTGTTGATGCAGTCACTTCTCCTGTGGATATATTACCTAGTCCACGCAAACAGAATCTCGTTGCAAAGATGTCTAAACCTGCTACTCCAGCGAAGCAAGATAAGCAAGATAAAAGCCAATCATTTTCTACATCGAATTATTTGATTCAAAAGCAAAAAATAGTCGACATTAAAACAAATAATGATGAGATTGCTGATGAATTATTGGCATCTTCGGAATCCGTTAACCTTCCAAGCTCCACTCCACCATCATACAATGTACCTAATGGAAATGGTTTTGGTGGTCAAAAGACTTATGGACGAGGTCGAACAATTTTAGGACAAGATTTTGATTCAGATCCCATACCAGTAGACATGGAGATTGATGACAATGATGTTAATGAGGACAATTTGGTTAGTGAATTTCATTATTTATAATTTATACTTGTTACGATAATTTTATTAATATATACTCATTTTAGACTCCTAAGAAATATGCATTGAAAAGTTCTCACGAGCTTCGTGAGACCGGTGACTATACAAGATTCACGGATGAAATGGATGATATTTTTGATGGACTTGAAAGTCGATCGATAACTATTCGCATAAATAGGTGCATTTTTTATTACAGCTTACTGTAGACCTTTTTTTAAAATTTATGATCTAATTTATTTATTTTTATTTCTTTTAGTGTTAAAGATCTATCGTTGAAACTATTGGATGGTGATTTTCTACTCAAAGTTCGCGCACATAATTATATTTCTAAAATTTACACCATATTAAATGGAAATCAGGATTTGGTATGAACTTTTTATATTTAAAAATTTATATATTTCATAATAATTTTTTCGTGTTAATTTGTGTAAATCTTTATGTAGTTAATTCGATGCTATTTTTCGTTCATCATTTGCATGTTGATGGAAGACAAGCATAGTTCGGAGTCTTTGATTCAAGAACATGGTTTTATAGAGTTTGTTGTGAATTTGTTAAATACTTCAACCGATCCTTTGAACATTGATACCGATTCCTTGGAAAAAAACGACAAAGTAATGATTTTATATATTTTTTTTCTTATATTATTTTCACTGCTTCCTCATTAATTTTTTACTTGTTTTTTTTTAGATTAATGAATTTAAGAATATTATTCTCAAGTCATCAATTTTTACAAATCTATCTCAGGTGAAATGATATTTTATTAATAAATATTTTTAAATGAAAAAGCCCAAGTTTTATTAAATGTTATTATTATTCTTTGTAATAGATTTCTCTTAAATCCATAGCTCTTCGTACATTATCATCTCTGTCTTCATTAAGAACTCGTCATGAAAGCACAATAAAAAATATATTACGGCACTCGGGCGGTTTGTTATCAGTAATTAGTGTCCTAAAGCCTGAACTTGAATTAGTGGGCGGACTATTATCAGAAATTGAGAATGGTAAGGTGAGTTTATAAATTTTTACATTTATATTCAAAGGAAGTCCTTATTTCAACCTGTAAGTTTGTTTTTAATTAATATAAATTTGCCTTCACATAATTGTAGCTTCCAAGCTTACAAAATGCCACCTTAGATTTTACGTTAATTGAACAGTGTCTAAAAATCTTAGAGAATTCCACTCTTTTCTGTTCCGAAAATCAAAGATGTATTGTAGAAGATAAAGATCTTTTGCACATGCTTTTAGAATTACTATTGTATTGTCAAGTAGAAGCCTGTGGAAAGAACGTAGAGGAAGCGTCCTTAGGTAAGAATTTTTTTATATTATATTTTATATTTTATATATGTGTACTAAATCTTATTTTTTGATATATTTAGCATTAGAATGTTTACTTGGTACTCTTAGAGTGTTGATTAACTTGACAAATGAAAATTTACCAGCTTGCCAGTATGTTGGATCACATTTAGGAATGTCGATTCTGATGAGATTAGCCACTGTCGGACAACTTCCTAGTAATGTTTCACTTAAAAATAGCACAGATCCTTTCATAGTTAATGCAACGAATTCAGAATCTGTAGATGCCGTCAAGTTTGATGTGTTATTACTTAGTATTGGTTTACTAATCAACTTGGTCGAAACTGATTCAAACATTCAAGATGAATTCCGGAAAGTTGGTTAGTTTATTTTATTTTATTTTATATTCACGAATTAATTTTTTTATTTGTTGATTCGTTAAAACAACTTTAATTAACTATATTATTTAATTAGATCAAAATCCAACATGTCCTGGTTCTCGAATGTGTATGCGAACTTGCACGTGTCCGTCACGTGAATCTGCTGTATCATGCCTTGTTTCTTTGTACAACTATCAGCTTGAAAAAGATGATGATGAGGTTAATAATGTTTGTTATTTACCGCAACTTAATTTTCAATTTTAAATTAAATTTTTTTTTTTTATTATTATTACAGACTGATAGCAATATCGTAGCAGCATATATGGCTGTTTTGCTTGGCTTATTAATAAAAAATAATCAAGATAACCAACAATTGATAATTGATATCCTTCCCTTATATCTTGATATTAAAATCATATTTTATTCATTTATTATAGATTTAATTTATTTCCTTAACTTGGAATTGTTCTTTTTTCCTTACAGCGATTGCCGGATCGATCGGTCAATTCTTTAATTAATCTCCTTCAGCAGTTTGTGCATTTCAATGAACTAGTTGGTGAAGAAGCTACAGCGAACGGTCACGCAAGTGGCCAAATGTTAATGAGTTCCTCTTCTTTAAATAATTACCAAACTAAATTAGAAAATCAAGGACGAACTATCGGTGATTCGTTTTTGGAAATTGTAGATATGTTGAAATCCTTGGAATCATAAAGACACCAATGACATCCAAGGTCAAAGTAAATATTAGGTATGAATATATTGAAAGGATTCAAACTCAAATTTGCTAAATCAGTTTTTTTGATTCTTATCCCTATCATATTTTACAACATATAAAATGAATTTGTAATTGTTGTAATTGTAAATTTACTTTTTTTTATCCTCACTATTAGTTCATTCGATTTTACTTCATATTGTTTATACTTCATTTCATTTCTTTTTTTTTTTTTTTTTTTTTTTTATAAATGTTTAAAAATTCTTTACAATATATAGTACATAATATATAAACGACATTTTTTTGAAAAATTTTATTTTCTTTAGAATTCAAAAATTATTCTTTATTGAACAAATTTTAAATTTTTATGATGAAAAGGTAGTAGTACTAAAGAAATTGGCTAATATTCTTATTTAGCATCCTAAATCCTTCTTATCCTCATTTTATGATTCATCTGTATAGAATACATATTCTTTTTTTCCCTTTGTTATATTTATTTATTAAATATAATATTATTGGCATAATAATTTTCAAATAAAATATTTATCATTAATCTTTTTCGATTTTTCACAAACCGATGTTTCATTTTTTAAATATATCTAAAAGCATTCTCATCATTAGTTTGACAATTAATCCCAGTGTATTTGATACTTTGATCACTTGTTCTTATAATTAGGTTTTTTTATCATCTCTATTTCGTAAAAATAATAAAATAACGTAACAACTTTTTTTAGATTGATCGATAAATCTATTGCATTAGTTTGAACTAATTAAAGATTACTTACTTTTAAGGACGGATTATCCCACGGCTCATCCCCTCGCGTCTCTTTACAAACCTTCTTGACAATAATTATTTAAAACTATCAACTAATATCCAATCGCGAGAGCAAAGGATGAATGCATAAGTAAATCATTCATGAATATTAATATAAATTTTTTTCTTCGTGATTCCACATTCAAATACCTTTTCCAATCTTAACCATAAAAGATAAAACTTTTTTATAAATACTTTTATCTTTCAAAAACGATTTAATAAATTTGATTCGTTAAAATAATATAAAATTCCTTTTCATTACTGATCGCAAAGTGTCCTTTGAAGAACATATTCTCGTCATTTTTTTTTAATGGAAGTGGCCAAATCTAGTAAAAAAGAAAATGTTAAACAATGAATTTTTAAGATTCAGAAGTAAAAAAGACCAAAATAGAAAAATCCCTAAAAAAAACTCGTGATCACATATCCTCATATATATCACGGGATTAATTAAAATTACTGCGGATCACAATATTTTTTTTAATTTAAAAAATATGAAGCGTTTATTACATAACAATTTTACTCAAGGTAAACTAAATTCTTTAAATTTTCGCTCAAATGTTCAATTTTATGAATAAATATTTTGAAAATGTGAACCACACAGTATTATATTATAATAATAAATCCAATAAAGTAATAAACTAAATATTATCAAAAATGATATATTCCAACATTTGAAGAATAATGAAGCTGGAAAAAAGATTACAACTTGCTTACTTCCAGCCATACTTCGCCCATGAGACGCATAGATTTGGCAAGATGATAACTTTCAGCTTCGCTAAGATTCTCGTCATTAAGAACTTTTTCACAGGTTTCATGAGCGATGGAAGATATTTCTGACAGTGAAAGTTTCCAAGCTAATTTATTGATCTAAGTTTTTCAAGTGTTCAAGTGTATATTTAGTTGTAAAAAGTTTTATTTGTATTCTTTTAAAAATTACATGACTTTCAAATTACCTCTTCCAGGTTAGGTTTATTCTTAGTTATTAACTCGAAGTATCCAAATAACAAGTCTACAAAAAACTCCACAACCTTAAGAATGCTAAAATAATCGTCGGTAGAAAATTTATTTAGATAGGTTCCTGCCTCAGAAATGTAGATTTCACCTAAAGAAAATAGAAGCTCTTTGCCATTAGGTTCATCGTAAAGTTTTCGAGCTTCCTCGTGGAGGCTTTTTAGAAATTGTGAATAATCTTCTTGTGATGAATTGTCTTGTTCTGGGAACCGAGATAGTTTAACTTGTAGATAACGAACAATGCTGGATACACGAAAGGTGTGACGGTGTTCTTTCGCCTGTTCAATCGAGACTAAATTTTCTAATTCATTGTTGTCCATAAGTGAGAATAACCAAAGGCCAATTTCTAAGTTGCCAATGTAGGGTTGCCATAAGTCTCCTCCTACATATGAGTTGAATGAAGCTTTGCCTGCTAAGTATATAGAATTAAATAAAATTTTAAAATAAGATATGTAGGAAAAAATTATTAATAATTAAGATATTACAATTTCTTATTATTCCGTAGTTATCATATAGAGAACGGCTGTTATCGTCAGAAAGAATTTGGTATGCTTTTGCGAGTTTCCCCCACTGCATTAAGAACATTGAGTTAATACGCAAATAGTTAAGGGGAATCTGGTGATACATTGTGAAATACCTCTTCAATTTCAATACTGCCATCCTTATCCGGATGGTATTTCATCGCAAGTTTCCTATAGCTTGAACTAATTTCAACTTTGGTTGCGTCGGGTTCTAACTGAAGGATCTCATATAAATCTGTTTTCTTTGGTTTATTGACTACTATCACATTATGAAAAATCAGCAATTATACGTTACTGTTGTTAAATAATTTACTTTTATTATTTGGCTATTTACCACAGGTAGGTTCAATTTTCTTTGTTTTCATTGGCCCGTCTATCCATTCGTTTAGTAATGACTTATGACGTGTGTTATATTCGTTCTCATTGATTTTACCGTCTTTAAATTGACGTTCGTTCTCACCTAATTCTGTATGAAGATTCATCGTCTAGTTTGTAGCTCCAAGATGTAGTGGTTTTTATATTGAAAATTATCATTTATGGATTTATATGGAGATATGAAAATGTTGAAAGTGATTCCAATGAAAAAACAATTTAACCAGATTTGGATATCTGGATAATCTTACGAAATTTGATCGGATATATGTTCCATTATTCAAACCTGTTATGTCCCAAACTTATCTAGATTGGGCGTTGTATTTTGAGACAGTCTATCGATAAATAAATTTTCATCGATGTATAAAATATTAAATATATTGTATGAGATAGCCTGATAAGTAAATCTATTTGTTAATGGAAATCTATATATAGAGAAGTATAATTCTTTGTGATGGATTCAAGTCTCAACATATACTAACAGGCATACTCGGTCATAAGTAAAATAAACAATACCACTTGAAAAACTAGTTTAGTCAGGCAGGATCATCAAATTACAGATTATATTGTACGATATTATTTACGTAGTAAGTTTTTTGTTTCAAGAAAAAAAACATTTCATTATTGCTTAATATATTATTATTTCTTGAGGAGTAAACATATTTGTATAATATGATGTTTTTGATTTATTGTTATTTAAGTTTAACTGCATATGGTAAAAAAATAATGAGATGTTGTATTAAATAAATTATGGAAATACAAATATATAATAAATATATAAATAAAAAATTTATCAAAGGTCTGCGTATTTTAATATCAGGCCTGCGTACTGCTAATAATAAAATGTTCAAAGGCCGCCTGATCCCTAAATATATACTGTATTTCTGAGTTCCGTTCGACCTAAAATCGGTCACTAAATGCAGCAAAGATCTAGCCAATCAAAAACTCTAAGAACAACATAGCTTAATAGATTTTTAATTCTAAATGGAGCCAATTTAACGAATTAAAATTATTTCACTTACTGTACATAAAATAATATTATCAGAGAAATATATTATGCAAGGTGCACAGATCTCACACCAGGCTCCGTACTTTTAAGATAATTTATGACGAGAGATTAATAACAAAGAATAAATATGATACAACTCATAAGAAGAATTAGATAATTGGTCCATATTCCTATTGCAAATTTTCAAACTTTTATCAAGCGTTGTGAACAATCTTAATTATATAGATCAGAAATTCTGAAGATTATAGGATAAAACATTTTAGCGGTGGTAGTATATTAAAAAGTACGATGAAATCCATTGGCTTAATGTTTATTAATAACCCTTGTGAGAGGGTTTATGTTGCTGGACATTTACTTTGAAAGACCTGGAAGAAATATTTATATTTGGAAACACGTCAAATTATATATATCAATCAAAGACTGAATTTCATCATTAGAAAGATGTATTTTACCTTCAATATATGAAAGTCCACATTAGTTGTCGATTACACTGTTTTGTTATTCAATACATACTTGTTATTCCATGGGTATCAATGAATAACTGAAATATTCACCGATGTCTTGGGGGCCCCCCCGAAGGGAGGGGAGCATCGGTGTATATGGAGTATTTATTAGATACCCATGGAATAACAGGTTTATCTCATTGTGTATGGCGTATACACCGATGGATTTTATACTTTTTTATACTTTTTTATACCGGTGGAATAATTTACAAAAAAATCCATCGGTGTATACATAATACCGATGGGATAAAAAAAAATTATTTTTTCGTTATTCAGTGAAATGATATACACTATACAAAAAAAAATTATAAATTAACCATATTCAATTCCTGGTTGAAAGAGTCCGGGGCATAAAAATTTAAATATATACATATTTAAGCTATTAATTAATCAGTTAAAATACGTTATACAGTCGACTCTGGTTATAAGTTATAAACTTTGTTATACCGAACCGGAATTTCCAGAACCGATTTATTATATAAAAACACTAAGTATCTATAACTAATGGTCATGTGACTATATAGTAAATTTATAGTGCTGGCCAGAATTACTGGTAATTTTTTCGAAATTTAGGGCAGCATTACAAGTTTGCCCTAAATTACCTAGAACAGAAAATTAGTTCTATACCGAACTAAACCCCCTGGAATAGAGGGTTCGTTATATCCAGAGTTGACTGTAAAGATGTTGCGTAACAGAATTTTTTTTTTACGACTTTTGTCATTTCAAAAAATTGAAATTAGAAAGATTTATTAAATTATTTGCCCAATTAATATGGAGAAATGAATCCTATGTTTCTCGGTGATTTTATAATTATTTTAATTTTATATTGTATATGATATTCAAATAATATTTAATCAATTATTTTGTCAAAACATAATTTGTTTATAAAACCTCTTGATAATATAATTTCTATTGTGCATTTCACGCTGATTGCATGTTGTACTTCGAAAGCCGGAACAATATTCATTATATCGGCTGATTGGAAAAATCAAGCCAATTAATATTTAAGCTCAGTTGATGGGTTCATTATATAACTGATGGGTTACTTATTGTCATTAGCATATAAAATTATGGGAGGCTTTTCTGATCAGCCGATATGAATATTTTAAAGGTTAATAGCTTTTGGATTCGCGTTACTGGAAGTATTGCAATACTTAAGCTAATACATAAATTTGTTTAAAAAACATTAAAATGTCTATTAACGAATTTATTGGAATTGATATTCAGGAGTTATACGACGGATTTTGTCTTTGTATTTGTCCAGTTGTTCAAGCAACAGATGTATATGATTGCATTCAAAATAGAAAATATTTTGAAATTGATTTTTTTATACAAGGAATATAAAATTCGTTTAATTTTAATGTCTTAATATTGAGAATTTTATGTAATAATAGTTATTATGAAATCTCTGTTTCACAGCTTTTTCTATCCTTACATTAGCGACATGCTTGGAAATAACAATGTTTTTCCAGGACTTATTATCTTAAAAGTTTTTGTTTATTTTTTCATTTATAATTATAAATTTAGGTTACAGTTTATACTTTGTAACTCTTTATTTAGAAATCTTTCGTTCAGCTGGATATTTTTAATTTGATAATCTTCCTGGGCCAAGTAGTGCTTCGATCCGGATATTTTTTTTTTTTCGGATATCCGGATTTTGCGGTTTTCATCCGGATTGTAATCCGGATGAAAAATATTCGGTTTAAACCGGAATCCGGATGAATCTTTATTTATATTTTTTTTTTCATAGCACTGTAATTTTATATAATTAAGATTTACAAGAAATAAGTATATATATTTTTTCATTAAAGTACGACTATAGACAAAACTTTAAATATTGAAAAGTGAAAACACTGAAAACACTTGAATGACATGTTTGATCAACTGATTTTAAATGAAAAATTATTGCAAAAAATTGGGATATTATAAAATTTAAATAATTATAACAACTTTTTTTTAAAAATTAAAACCTTAGTGTTATATAATTGATTCAAATGATTCTTTAATTTTTGAAAGAAACAAATCTCATTTTAACATTTAAAAATTGCCTAACTAACTCAAAACATCTATCTATAGTAATCTTCAGCTGTATACAAAATATCTTGTTTATCCAAAATTTCATAGTTAGTTAATTTACAAATAAATGTTAAACAATAGTCTGAATAATATGTAATTGGTTTAAAAAAAGTATTGAATAAAATTGGAATATAATTGGCCAAATTTGTAATTCTGGCCGAAATTAATATCACGTGACACCGGAAAAATAGTTTAGCCACCGGGTAAAAAATTTTTTATTGGCTACACGAAAAATTTTAATGTTAAACAAATTTGTAATTCTGGCCGGCGTTATGAATTCTGGCCAGAATTATTGCCGATCAGTTGTAAATCTAATCCGGATCCTTTTTTGTGTAACCCGGATGACGGTTTTCATCCGGATCGAAGCACTAGGGCCAAGTCTCTTTTTTTTTGTATAATTATATTAATAGATTAATAGACAAGTTTTAGATATAAACAAATAACAACTATATTTTAGAAAAAAAATAAGGACTTATAATAATAGCTATTATGTTTAATAGAAATTACTTAGATTGGCGTAATATACTTAATTTATCGTAATAATTACTATGAATCATAAGTAACTCCTATCATAAGATTATATTTTAGCAACTACTATAAGCATTGTTATAATTACCTTTGAAATATAATTTTATTTGGTTTTTTCTATAAAATATTTCTTTAAATCATTTATTATATGTAATTTTCATATAAACATCATTATCACCAAGGATTAATGTTTCGGGCGAAACTGTTTTGCGATTGGCGAGACGTTTCGTCCATTTTTAGTTTCGGTTTCGGCTATTCCGAAACTGCCAAACCTGGCGAAATGTCCGAAACCCTGGCGAAACTTCCGAAACTCAGCGAAACTAAAATTGTCTTGTAATTAGTTGTTAAATATGTTTCATATCTAAGATCCAGTTGTAGATTACGCGAATTATCATTAAATTTTTCAATTAATTTGGAATATACTATTCAACCCGTCAAAATCGTAGACCATACTGTGGCCCAAATTATAATTTATGCTAGGCCAAAATCTAATTCTGATCTGGCGCAAAATTCATTTTAAATTTTATAACTTCAACCAATGCTGGCCAAATACTAATACTATTGCAACCTAAAATATCGGTACATGTTACAATGAGATTTTTTTATTAATTGTGAAATGGGACATGGAAATTTATCGGTTCGGCACATAGGTTTGACTGTAGTTAATTATTTACAGTACAATCACATTTCAACTAATTGTTTATGAAGAAATTTTTTAAATGGAAGTTGACATTTGGTAGCAAGTGTCAAATGGGATTTGTACAAAATCCTACCTTACTTTTAAATACAAATGCTTGAATTTTAGAGAGTTAATGAAAAAGTAAAGAATTGCCAGAGAACTTGGAACCATATAATTTATACTTTATAGCCAATTAAAAATTTAACACGTGACTTATTTAGTTTCGCCAGGTTTCGGAAGTTTCGCCAGATATTAAATTTCGATTTCGCTCGAAACACTAGTACGATACCAAGGATTGTAAGCAAGATGTACTCTAAGTAACGTTATATCCACATTCTATTGATTTTTATAATATTTAAGGAAATATAATCACAACAGTAAAATCAAATTGTTACAATTGCGACCAAAAAATCTCAAAATATTTTTTTACGCGAATTAATTACATTTTGTTAAATGATAAACGTGAATTTTATTTTAATATTTATAGAATATAGATATAGTTAGCAACTAACATATGATAATGATTTAATTGGTTATAGAAGACTATCGCGATGAAATAATTTCACCTTAATTTATACTATACATATTCTAAAATTTATATTGCACAGTCTAGACATTCGGTGTTATTATCAACATATCTTAAATATTGAGTATTTTCATCAATGTATTCTGATAGATCTTTTGTATAAGGATTAAGTAATCGAGATGTATAAATAGCTTGAGGATGAATAGTTGATTTGCTATTATTATTTGTATTTCTATAATTTTCTGCCTCTTGAAATTGTCTTTTAATTTCATAATTATCTTGTGAACGATATGAATTATAAAATGAAATAATAGTTGCTTCTATTTCAGCAGCATTCGGTCTATTGACAGGGTTTGAATTCCAACACTTTTCCATTAACTCAATATAACATTTAGGTGCTTCCGGCTCATTTATTTCTGGTCTAATTCCTTTACATATATCTAATGCTAGATGATGATCATGTGCACAATTGGCGAAAGGTTGTCTCCCAGTTGCTACAAAATACATGATCATACTAAAACTATATACATCTGCTGCTGGAGTATAAGGATTACCTCTTAATACTTCAGGAGCTACATAAGGCATAGCTCCATAAATGTTTGTTTCATCTATATCACCAATTTCTCGATCTTACTGCGCCTTATATGTATTACTTAGTGTAAACAAAATATACAAATCCGAAGACGCAAATTTTGTGCATACTGGAATTATGCAATTCCGGCCCTGAAGAGTAAAAAGTTGCAAAATATAAATTAAGTGGTTACCTTAAAGGATATAACTGATAGAAATATTAAATAATTCGCTTATTTCTTTTTATAATCTTTACGATTTAATAATTAATGCTATTTCACCTTAGAAATAAATTTCTTAAAATGCATTAAACTTGTAAAAGTGCGTCAGTATTAAATGAATAAACCATAGATATCATAATAATTGATCGCTGACCGACACTTTATTATTTAATTCCGGTCGGTTGCATTTTTCAATCAAATGCAAAAGAGACCATTCTATTTCTGAAACATGTTCTACCGAAAAAGCCCAAAATTTTATGGTCAAAAGGTCAGATATTTCATGTGTTACACAAAAAATCAGACAAATCAAATAAACCAACCCGACCGAAGAATACAACGACCGGAATCTACGAGGCTAATGATGCTGGAAAAGCGCTTAATATGAACAAAAGATTATACGTAAGAGTATCCAAAAAAAATTGTGCCATTTATTTAAATGCCTCGCCACTATCATAAAACCATGAATTGAAAATGAAACATTGTATCTGTAATCTTGCCTATAATTAGGGATGATGGAAAAGTTAAGGTTGAGCGACTTGAGTTGGTTCGTTCCATTCGGTTTGGTACATTTGGTTTTAATAAATTTTGATATATACTAGTACTGACTCGGATCTGGACCGAAGTGACAAGAACCGAACCGGTTTGACTCGGTTTTTTCAACAGTATCGGTTCGGAATCGAACCGAACCAAGCGAGTCGTCTCCCTACTACCTATAATGAAATAATTTCGAGTTAACATTAGAGAACTCTTCACACTTAAATGTCTTCAAAGTCATGTTTCGGAACGACTCACGCCCACTATTACCAATATTTGCCAAGAAGACAATTAAATTAGCGGGAGTATTTGACACGGGTTTTGGAATTTGAACTTTTTGAGATAAAGCGTCGTTTTCATGCCCTGCTAACTTTGTAGGTTTCAATTATTACCGCGATTTTTCCCCTATTTTTCGCATACTTCCACAACAGCAGTAATTTTTTACAATGTTTGTTCAATTTATATACTGATTTTATTTATGTAAAATAAAATTTAGATATATTCTATAATCTGTGTTAGACAAAAATGAATATGAATTTTCTCTATTAACATGATGATTATAAATATAATTTCTAATTTCTAACAATAATTGGTACGGACTGTTTTTTGGTTTGTTTTAATTAAATTTAATTACAAAAATAATTATTACTGGCTCAATTAAAACATTCAAACTTATCTGATTTACCTAAAAATTCTGGAACGAAGTTTTTCAAGATCTTTTGTAAACAACGGCTACTCTACTTCTTTGAATTGTTCTTCAATTCACAATCATCGCTTTATTACAGTTGAATATTAACCAACTGCTGAATAACTGACAATAATTCAAACACTTTTCATAATTAATATAACTAACATTATTTCAGGTTAATTTCACTTAATGTTAGATGATACAAATATACTTTATAAAAAATTTTTAGAAAATTAATCACATGTCTGAGTTTTTCTGGAGTAAAAACTAGAAAAATGATCATTAATCGGAGTTTTTCCAGAAAATTTTTTATAGGGATATAATCATTCCAAAGCTACTAGTATACAAAATACAGAGTTCAAGTACATAGTCTACCATTTCCACGATAGGACAATTAGGCATCTCACAATATTGCCTTGTTATTTATAATCAAAAAGATTAAAACTGCAAAAATATTAATAATAGATAAAATAAAAAAAAATTGATGAAGGGAAAAAAGCCAAATGACCTAACCTTTGAAAAATATGTATTAGAATTTTCCGATGCTAATCTAAAGTTAATTTCGGATTATTATTAAAAAATGTTAATTCGGTAATAAGAAGGTGTTTGGTAATGCCTTGTTAAGGAATGGTAAATATGGAATATATGCATCCGGTTTATGGTTTGCAGTCTCTTATAGATGATTTATCGTTATGAAAATCACGAATAAGATAGAGCGGCTACCGGAGTTTTATAAGATTTATGAAATTTATAAAATTTATAAACATTGACTGGTATTGTGCAATCAATCTTTAACTGTAAAAAAAAGGATAAAAAATTTAGAAAATCATACACTTAAATTCAAAATAACAAGAAACAATTTTTTTTAATACTATACTTATTAAATCTTTTGGTATGAAACGATAAATAACAAGTTATTTAATGGTTTAAAGTGTTTGTTCAATTACAAACTAATTTTATTTTACTTTATCAGTGTTGAACAAAGAATAAATAAAAGAAAATAATATATAAATTTGTTATAACATATACTAGTACAAATATTTACTTTGAATATTCTTCTGATAATTGTAATACATAAATAAACACTAGGAAACGGGAACCGTTGTAAGTCCGGAGCGAAAAACTAAAATTTGCGATTTCATTGGGTGACGATCACGTGGCGGACAGAGAAATTCACGTTGATCAATTTTTTTTCATAGTGTGTAGACAATATTGTCCTTCGCTTCGCTCCGGACAATAACTCATTCTGTTATATAACTTATATTGCACAGTCTAAACATTCCGTACGATTGTTAATACATTGAGTATAATCATCAATATATTCAGGGAGATCCTTTGTAAAAGAGTTAAGTAGTCGAGATGTATAAATAGCTTGAGGATGAAAGGTTGATTTGATGTTTCTGTTTGTACTTCTATATTTTTCTGCTTCTTTGAATTGTTCTTCAATTTGATCATTATCATCTCGTTTTATTTCATTTTTACAATATGAATTATGAAATAAAATAATGAATTTTTCTATTTCGGAAGCGTTCGGTCTATTAATAGGATTTGAATCCCAACATTTTTTCATTAAATCAATATAACATTTAGGTGCTTCCAGCTCATTTATTTCAGGTCTAATTCCTTTACATATATCTATTACTAGAAGATGATCATGTGCACAATTGGAGAAAGGTTGCTTTTCAGTCGCTATAAAATACATGATCATACCAAAACTATATATATCTGCTGCTTGAGTATAGGTTTTTCCTCTTAATACTTCGGGAGCCACGTAAGGCACAACTCCATAAATGTTTGTTTCATCTATATTACCAATTTCTCCACATAATCCCATATCGGAAATATAATTTGAAGTAAACAAATGTATCTCCTTAAATAATATATTTCCTATATGAAAATCACGATGAACCATCTGTTTTTGATGAATTTCTTTGAGTCCACTAATAATGCTGCTTAACACTTTTAATTTAATTAACCAGTTAAAATATTTTGAATTATTATTCATCCAATAATTAAAATTTCTACCTTCTGCATACTGGAGAACCATAATGTAATTTTTTGTATCTGGATCTTGAGATATTCCATAAACTCTAAGAATTTTATCAGGATTATAAATTAAATATGCCTTAACCTAGAAAAAAAATTAATTTAATTATTTATAAATTATAAATAATTAAATTATAAACTTTATACCTCATTTAAAAATCCATTGGTTATATTTTGTGAATTATTTAAACATTTTAAAGCAACTTTCTTATCTGAATCTCTTATCCACTCATTTTTATCCTTATAATAACGAAATGGGCCATCCTTCCACATTGCTGAATATACTGTCGCAAAACCACCTTGATCTATTTTTTCAATATCACTAAACTGATTATATGGTATCCATTCAAAAAATATATCCTTGTAAACATCAATTTTCAATAGCATTTCTCGAATAAAATTATCAATTTTTTCATTCCCACTAGTCCAGGTTATAAAATATTCTCTCTGATTATTTATTTTGCATAGTATATTTTCATCTGTATATTGTTCAACACAATTTACACAAAATTTTCTTAAATATTTGATATTGAGAATCAATATATAATCTTTTGTAACCGAATCTTGAGAAATTCCATATATCTTATTAATGCTGTATTCCTTTATTGAATATTTTATTAAAACCTATTAAATGTAGGCAAAATGAGAAATATTATAAAGTATTTGAATAATTTTGTACAGAAATTTTATACCTCACTTAACACTCTCTTACTATAAAATTTTTCACCATCAAAATATTCTAAAACAACTATTTCATCCGAATTTCTTATATATTCTTTATTCTTACTATTCCAGTACAATGAGCCATTCTTCCATATTGCTGTAGCAAGAGTATCTTTTTTTATTTCTTTAATATAATTAATATCACTAAGCTGGTCGTATGGTATCCATTCAAGTATTTTATCCTCTGGTTCGTTAATTTTTAATTGCATTGTGTAAATAAAATTATCAATTATTTCATTTACACTGGTCGAGTTTATATTATTATTCTCAAGATAATTTACTTTGCATGGTTTGCACCAATTCATATTTATATCTGTATATTGTTCACCGCATTCTATGCAAAATTTTTTCAAATAATTATTATAGAGAATCAATAAATAATCTTTTGTAATTGGATCCTGAGAAATTCCATATATCTTACTAATTTTACTTTCTTTTATTGAATATTCATTTAAAACCTATTAAATATAAGCAAGTTGAGCAATATTAAAAGTGTTTTAATAATTTTGTATAAGAATTTCGTACCTTATTTAACAATCTTTCATTCTCAAATTCTTCACTATCAAAGTATTTTAAAGTAATTATTTCATCCGAATACCTTAAATATTCTTTATTCTTACTATTCCAATATAATGAGCCATCCTTCCATGTTGCTGTAGCAAGATTACCTTTTCTTATTTCTTTAATATCTTCAAATTGATTATAAGGTATCCATTCAAATATTATGTCGGTCGGATGATCGATTTCTAATTGCATTTCGTGAATAAAATTATCAATTTTTTCATTCCCACTAGTCCAGTTTACTTTAATTTTAAAACAATTTTTTCGACATAATTTACACCATTTATAGCGTGTACTTGGTTTATTTATATACATTACAGTAATTGCACCACATGTTATACATTTTTTAATCAATTTTTTAAACAAGCTTCGCATTTTGACAGGCGGGTATATTGTAACAATTACTTTGTTATATTTTGCGGAGGATTTAAAAAAAGTTTTGAAAGAGGAACTATTTGTCATACCAAACAAAGATGCGACTTTCGTGCACGTAATGTTAAATACATAACCTTTCCTTTTTTGTTAATGTCATCCCCGGTAATTCCACCCAAGTTTCTATTAGACGTACGGTGACATATAAGAATATCCGTAGTAAAAAAAACTAAATTTGTACAATAACCTACCTAAAATACCCTAATATAGCCCTAATATCTAAACCCTAATCCTAACCATCCTAACTAAATCCATATATAAATAACGGTATCCAATCAAAAACTCGGAGTAAATTAGTAAATTCGATCTCGTTGATTTAATTTTCTGGTTACTCTGGCTAACCAAAAAAAATCTGCCGATCGAAACAATTCTGATGCAAAATAGAAAAAAATAAAATAAATGAAAGGAAATAAAAGAATGACAAAAATGACTTCATAAGCAAAAATAAAAATTCTTGCGTGGGTAAATTTGAAAATTATGTTTTTGAATTTCTCAAGTGCTAAAGTCTAGAAAAAACAACTGAAAAATCTTATTACTGTAATTTCGGATCATCATCAAGAAAATAGCGTCGATAAAAGTACGTCAATGAAAAAATGTTCGTGAATATATGTATCCGGTTACGGTTATCCGATTGCAGCGGCACAAGCTTTATCTTGCTGAAGTTTACTAACTTCTTTTTGTGAATAATTATGGAAAAAATTGTAATTTGGAATCTTTTATTTTATTTTTCAGATAATTTGTCGTTCAGCATTGATGGTATTGTACAATCAATCGTTTCAATTCGAATCAGCAAGGACTAATTGTTATTTTGGCACTACTGTATAAACTTAACCTTTTGATTCTGAAATATTAAACAACAAAAGTTATTTGCAATGTTTTTTCAATTACAAATTGATTTTATTTTACTTTGTTCAGTGTTGAACAATGACTAAATAAAGAAAATAATATAAATTTATTATAGCGTACTATTTACCATCAACCAGCACAAATATTTACTTAGCATATTGCCATATACTTCTGATAATTATAACGAATAAACATAATTTATTCTGTTATTGCACAATCTAAACTGAACATTCCGTACGATTATTAATACATTATTGAGTATAATCGTCAATATAGTATCCTTTGTAAAGGAATTAAGTAGTCGAGATGTATAAGTAGCTTGAGGATGAATGGTTAATTTAATGTTTCTGTTTGTATTTCTATATCTTTCTGCTACTTGGAATTGTTTTTTAATTTGACATCATCTTGTATTACTTAGATGAATTATTAAAGGTAATTTTTTAATATTAAAACCTCTAACATTTAGTCGAACAATTTGAACTATAAAATGAAATAATAAAATTTTCTATTTCGCTAGTGTTCAGTCTATTAATCGGATTTGAATCCCAACACTTTTTCATTAAGTCAAACACTGAGGTAGGACCCAGAAATATATATACAGGGGTAGGGTACACAGATGCGTCGCCATCATAGTGGAATTAGACGGAGTAAAGTTTTGATTTGTGTACAATTTTAGAATTTTTCATCTATAGTTAGGTTATCAAGATTGGATTGCGTATTTTTATCAAAATTTTTATATGTAAAAAATTAGTTTGCGTATTTTTGGCCTAAATTTGGCTAATCTTATATATAAAATATTTTTATTGTACGTACTTATTTAATTAACCGCATTGTAATATTTAGTATTAATTGAAAGAAATTTCTAATGGTTAAAAGTGAAATTTTAGAAAAATATTATTGAAAAAATGGTAAATTCTATTTTTTCACATTAGTATTTGGTTTTATAAATAATAGAGAAGCCATGATAAAATAATTAATAACTTAATGTCTGAAATTTTATTTGCGTATTTTTGCAGGATTTTTATATCAGGTGTCAATTATGCGTACTACTCATATAAAAATTCTCTGCGTACAGATCATAGTAAAAAAATTTTTCGCCACCTGACCCCTATATATATATTTCTGGGTCCTACTGAGGTGTTTCCGACTCATTATTTCAGGTCTAGTTCCTTTACATACTATGTAATATATATATACTAGGTGATGTGCACAATTATAGAAAGGTTGCAGTTGCTACAAATACATAAGCATACTAAATCTGCTGCTTGGTTACTATAAAGCTTTTTTTTTTTTTTTTTTACAATGACAAACGCATATTTATTGATTAAAGAGGGCCTATGTTAGTATGTCGCGCACTAGTACAAACATAGGCAGTAAAATAACCTCAATATACCCATTGAAATTGAGCAGTCTAAAACTACTCGCTCTCTCCATGTCAAGGCCACTACCGTCCCCGATCAACACCTTTAACCCCTACACCAACCTATATACAAGCTATCTACATACATGGGTATATCTCGTTATTCTACACTAAAAAAAGAAACCTAAACTATTTTTTGTTTTGACCCTTTTTCTTCTTTTTACGGCCCATCCTGCTTCCAGGTTTCCCGGCCCAGGGTTTTTTTTCTTTTTTAACTTCTCTAAAGCCTTCTCCAGTCTCTTCGTATTCTGTGTCACTTCACGTTCCCTGTTTTTTCTTTATACGCTTCTTGTCTTCTTCATCGTCCGATGATGATGAAAAACCATTACCTGGACCTATTAAAAATGGGTTACGGTTTGAACAAGTAAATGGATACTTGTTGTTTTGTGATGGTAATTGTTTAGTACAATCAGCGTTAACTTTCAGTTGTTGTATTCATGTAATTCTATCGGAGACACAGTTTTTTCTCCATTTGTAGAACGCTCTGACTTCTTCCCCTTTTTGTCGCCGACGCATTTTTCGAATAAAGAAATCCTAGCTTTACTCAGCAGGTGGTTTTCATCGTAGACTTTTATCTTGTTGTCGTCTTCAACTGGTAACGTCACTTTATCGTATTCGACCATTATCTCTTTTCGGTACTCCTCAATCACTTTAACCACGTTATCTGGAGAAGTATAATCTTTTAGCGGAGGCGATATTGTTTCTACTTGCTTTTCACTCAGCAGGTTTTTCCTAGTATATTTATTAACGGTATCGACTACCTCTTCCGTGGTTATATCTTTGATAATTGTTGGTGACGTTACGGTTGTTATTATCGGCTCTTCTTTTTTATTATTCGGGACCGTGCTGATTAGCGCCCTCGGAAGAACCTCTTTTGTGGACTTCTTCGATGCACCATCTTGACGTTTTCTGTGAATAATCCAGGCTTGATCTGTGATTCCGCCGTCCAGAGTGATTGCATTGTTCAACTGATCTTCATCTTTAAAATACGCCAGAAAACTGTCTTATTTCCAAAGCGAGCAATTTTTCCATACTCAAAAGTATAATTTTTCCTCGCTATATCTTGGTAGTAATTCGTACATATTACTTTGTAAGCTTTCCACTTGCATTTTTCTTTTATGTCTTTAACAGTCCTATCTCCTTTGAACCAATGAACGTCAATGACTTTTTTATTTTTATCATTGCTTCCTATTAGCACTTTCTCTTTCCATGCTCCATTTAAGAAGGATGTCTCATAATCTTCCAATAATGAAATGTCCGCTCTTACTGATTGGTATTTGTAGTGTTTTTTGATTCTAATTCTGTGTACCTTGCCTAATTGTTTTATGGCATTGACCACCTCTTCCTCACTATATCTTGATGGTATGTCATAAAATAAAATATCACGTGATGTTGTACTCTGAGCCTGGTATTTTTTTGGATCGATATCTGATCGTCATTTGTTGGGAGCACAATTTCCTTAACTGATTTTTTTTCACGTTTTTTATTTTTCAGCATTTTTCTTTGTTCTGAGATGTTTTTGATTGGTGTTTTTAACTCGCATTCTATTTCTTTATTTAGTTGTGTATCTTGTGTCGAAGTTTTTTGCTGCACCTGCCGCAGCCATGAACGAAGGCGAATATTCTGGTTTCCAATTCTTTTAACATCGTTATCATAGTCTCTATATGCGAACCTCAGTATATTCCTGGCTATTATTTCTATAGTTTCACCTTTTATGCAGGTAATATTACTTATTTCCACTAGTAACCTATGTGTTTTTAGCGTCCTGAAAAATATTTTGTCAAAAATATCCTCTATCTTGTCTTTATGCCTAGAGTTGGCTTTTGTAAAATTTTTTCCAACAAAGGACTTGACTTCTTTTAAGATATCCCTATGAAAAAAGTCTGTGTGATTTTTGTTGAAAAATCATTCAATTAAATTCACTACGATTTCTGTATATTTGACCATACAATAATTGTGCTAAAAATTGCAATAAATCACACAATTATTGCATGGTAATTCATTCAATAATTATCCTATTATTGACCTGAATTTATACAATTATTGTGTGATTTCTGAGCCAAATTTTAGGCCATATTTTAGGAATTATAGGTTAAATTTTACAGTAATAACAGGCAATTTATAAAGTAAAATTATGAATTTTTATTGACTTAAAATATAAAAAATATACACAATATTTCATAAATAAAATACTAAATTTGATATAATCATAAATATAAAAATTTGTAAGAAAATAAAATAAAATAAAGTATGTTAGTAACATGAAAGTAAATTAGTAGTATCAAAGAAGAAAGTAAATTATTAGTGTAAGTAAATTATTAGTATTAAATAAATAAAAAAAATATGAAGTTAGTGAAGAAAGCAAATTAGTAGTGTTAAAAAGTAAATTATTAGTGTTAGTAATAAAAAAGTATGAAGTTAGTGAAGAAAGCAAATTAGTGTGTTAAAAAGTAAATTATTAGTGTTAGTAATAAAAAAAAAGTATGAAGTTAGTGAAGAAAGCAAGCTAGTAACATTAAAATGTAAAAAGTTAGGAAAATAAAAAGATAAAGAACACAAGTTTTTCTTACCTGATATTTTAAAAGAAAGTTGAAGAAAAGTTAAAAGGTTAAAAAAAACATAAACAAAAACATTTCGCGTCATCATATTTATTTTGACGATCAGATCACGTGATCAACATATATAATTTAAGAGTTAATTTTTACCGCATAATTCTGGCCAAATTATAATTCCAGTCAGAACTAATTGTATAACCTAATAAAAAGTTTTTGACTTTTTTTTAGTTACAAGATGATACAAAAATTTCACCAATGGGTCCAAAAGATGCCCGTTTATAAGCAAATATGCAGTTGAAATTTGTGTAACCTTACTGCATAAATCACTTTACTTAGGAAAATCTATTTGTAATGGTCTATTTGACCCTAAAAGTGGTCAAATGTAACCATACAGGTAAGATGGAAAGTAGTATAGTAGGATTACTCAAAAATTGCTTTCTGTATCCTAAATTTAAGCCTATTTTCAAGTTGTACAATAATCACAATTTTTATTGTACAAAAATTGAATGTTTTCTGTATCCTAAATTTAAGTTGTATAAAGATCACACAAAAATTGAACATTTTCTATATTCTAAATTTAAGTTGTACAAAAATTGCATACTTTTAATATGCTTTGAAAAACTTCATAGCTATTTTTATCCAAAAATCTGCAATAATTGTACAATTTCCACACGGACTTGAACAAATATCATACAAAAATTGGATGATTTTTTTTCATAGGGATATGTTCCTCGAACTCCTCTTGCCCTCGGTATAACTCCATATTTATTAGTGTTTTAATAAGAAAAAATAAAAAATTTTTATATTTTTGTAATTTTAGTTTTCCTCACTGCGGATTTCTAATAATTTTTAGTCCCGAGTTTTTTTTTTTTTTTTTCTTTTTTAAAGCTTTTCTCTTAATACTGTCTTCAGGAGCCACATAAGGCACAACACCATAAATGTTTTTTCTATATTACCAATTTCTCTACATAGTAATCCCATATCAGAACTATGAAAAATTTTTATCCGAATATTTCCATTATTTCTTCGTGTCTTCCGTAAAAATTCCGTGAAAATGATATATTCACGGATATCCGTGTTAGCGAGATGAAAATTTCCATGATTTAAGGTTATTAATTCCATGAAAATGATACATTCACGGAAAAAACATGGAAAGATAAAACACGGATCAGATTTTTTACAGGGCGAAAAGTAGATAAAAGTATTTCCTTAAATAATATATTTCCTATATGAAATCAGATGAACCAACTGTTTTTGATGAATTGCTTTAAGACCATTATAATGTTACTTAACACTTTTAATTTAATTAACCAACTAAAATATTTAGAAGTATTATTCAACCAATAACTAAAATTTCGACCTTCCGCATACTATTGGAGAACCATAATGTAATTTTTGTATCCGGATCTTGAGACATTTCATAAACTCTAAGAATTTTATCAGGATCATTACAATTAAAAATTCCTATAATTAACGCTACTATTTCATTTCATCCTAGAAATAATCATTCTATTGATGAAGCATGTTCGACCGAAATTTTATGGTCAAAAGGTCGGATATTTCATGTGTTACCCAATTCAGACAATTCAAAATAAAATCAACTCGGCAACGACTGGAATTTACAAGACTAATAAAGCTGAATACGTAAGAGTAGTATCCAAAAAAAAATTGTGCCATTTATTTAATTGCCCCGCCACTATCATAAAACCATGAATTGAAAATGAAAACATTGTATCTGTAATCTCGCCTATAATTAGAGATGGAAGAGTTAAGGTTGAGCGACTTGAGTCGGTTCGTTCCATTCGGTTTGGTACATTGGTTCCAAATCGGGTTTAATATACTGGCTCGGATCGGACCGGGGGTTTCAGTTTAACTCGGTTTTTTTCAATAGTATCGGTACCGAACTGAGCGAGGCGTCCCCATACATCCTTACCTATAATGAAATAATTTCAAGTGATTCTTCACACAGATACTTTATTTCGTGATTTTAAATATCTTCAAAGCCATGTTTCGGAATGACTCACGTCCACCATTACCAATATTTGTTAAGAAGACAATTAAATTAGTGGGAGAAGTATTTGACACGGATTTTCAAATTTGAACTTTTTGAGATAAAGCGTCGTTTTCATGCCCTGCTAACTTCAGTTTGTGTAGGCTTCAATTATTACCGCAATTTTCCCCTGTTTTTTGCATACTTCCATAACAGCAGCAGTAATTTTTTACAATGTTTGTTCAATTTATAAACTGATTTTATTTATGTAAAATAAAATTTACATGTATTCTATAATCGGTATTAGACAAAAATGATCTATTTATATATATACTATATATATACTTTATAAAAAATTTTTTATATTTGATCACATGTCTGAGTTTTTCTGGAGTAAACTAGAAAAATGATCATTAATCGGAGTTTTTCCAAAAAATTTTCATAGGGTTCCAAAGCTAGTTTACAAAATACAGAATCCAAGTACACATAGTAGTTATGGTAAGTACTGATTAGAAACCGCAGTAAAAAACAGCGTACATCCCTATACTCACTATCAACGTATCTTTTACCGGCGCCATTTCATCTACCATTTTCACGATAGGAAAATTAGGCATGAAACTTTCTTAACTGCCATCTCACAATCAAAAAGATGAAAACTGCAAAAATATTAATAATAAATAAAATAAAATAAAATAAATTGAAAACTAGAAAAAGTCAAATGACTTCTAAACCTTTGAAAAATATGTATTAGAATTTAGAATTTTCCGATGCTAATCTAAAGTTAATTTCTGATTATAATCAAAAAATGGTAATTCAGTAAGAAGGATGTTTGGTAATGCCTTGTTAAGGAATGGTAAATAGCGTCGGTAAAAAGTACGTCAATGAAAGTTGGAATATATGCATCCGGTTTATGATTTGCAGTCTATAGATGATTTATTGTTATGAAAATTGAAAAGAATTCACGAGTAAGAGCAGCTACCGGAGTTTTATAAAAATTTATAAAATTTATAAATTTATAAACATTGACTGGTATTGTGCGATCAATCTTTAACTAACAAAAAGGATAAAAAATTTAGATAATACTATTAAATTCAAAATAACAAGAAACAATTTTTTTTAATAAAATCTTTTGATATGAAATGATAAATAACGAAAGTTATTTAATGGTTTAAAGTGTTTGTTCAATTACAAACCGATTTTATTTACATTATCAGTGTTGAACAAAGAATGAATAAAAGAAAATAATATATAAATTTGTTATAACATATTTATAATCAATTAGTACAAATATTTGAATATTCTTCTGATAATTGTGAACATAAATAAACATAACTCATTCTGTTATATAACTTATATTGCACAGTCTAAACATTCCGTACGATTGTTAATACATTGAGTATAATCATCAATATATTCAGGAAGATCCTTTGTAAAGGAGTTGAGTAGTCGAGATGTATAAATAGCTTGAGGATGAAAGGTTGATTTGATGATTCTGTTTGTATTTCTATATTTTTCTGCTTCTTTGAATTGTTCTTCAATTTCATCATTATCATCTCGTTTTTTTCTACAATATGAATTATGAAATGAAATAATGAATTTTTCTATTTCAGAAGCGTTCGGTCTATTAACAGGATTTGAATCCCAACATTTTTTCATTAAATCAATATAACATTTAGGTGCTTCCAGCTCATTTATTTCAGGTCTAATTCCTTTACATATATCTATTACTAGAAGATGATCATGTGCACAATAGGAGAAAGGTTGCTTTTCAGTCGCTAAAAAATACATGATCATACCAAAACTATATATATCTGCTGCTTGAGTATAAGATTTTCCTCTTAATAATTCAGGAGCCACGTAAGGCAAAACTCCATAAATGTTTGTTTCATCTATATTACCAATTTCTCCACATAATCCCATATCAGAAATATAATTTGAAGTAAACAAATGTATCTCCTTAAATAATATATTTCCTATATGAAAATCACGATGAACCATCTGTTTTTGATGAATTTCTTTGAGTCCACTAATAATGCTGCTTAACACTTTTAATTTAATTAACCAGTTAAAATATTTTGAATTATGATTCATCCAATAATTAAAATTTCTACCTTCTGCATACTGGAGAACCATAATGTAATTTTTTGTATCCGGATCTTGAGATATTCCATAAACTCTAAGAATTTTATCAGGATTATAAATTAAATATGCCGTAACCTAAAAAAAAAATTAATTTAATTATTTATAAATTATAAATAAATTAAATTACAAATTTCATACCTCATTTAAAAATTCATTGGTTATATTTTGTGAATTATTTAAACATTTTAAAGCAACTTTTTTATCTGAATCTCTTGTCCAACAACTCATATAACGTAATGGGCCATCCTTCCATATTGCTGAATATACTGTAGCAAAACCGCCTTGATCTATTTTTTCAATATCACTAAACTGATTGTATGATATCCATTCAAATAATATATCCTTGTAAACATCAATTTTCAATAGCACTTCTCGAATAAAATTATCAATTTTTCCATTCCCACTAATCCAGTTTATAAAATATTTTTTCTGATGTTTTATTTTGCATAGCATAGTTTTACCTGTACATTGTTCAACACAATTTACACAATATTTTCTCAAATATTTATTATTGAGAACCAATAAATAATCTTTTGTAATTGGATTTTGAGAAATCCCATATATCTTTTTATTGTCATATGATGTTTTTATTGAATATTCTTCTAAAACCTATTAATCATTAGCAAAATGAGCAATATTAAAAATATTTGAATAATTTTGTATAGAAATTCATACCTTAATTAATGCAAGTTCTTTAGAATCAAAATATTCTAAAACGACTACTTCATCAGAATTTTTTACGTATTCTTTATACACACTATTCCAATATAATGGGCCATCCTTCCATATTGCTGTAGCAAGAGTACCTTTTCCTATTTCTTTAATATAATTAAACCGGTTGTAAGGTATCCATTCAAATATTATATCAGCCGGATGATCGATTTTTAATTGCATTTCGTGAATAATATTATTGATTTTATCATCTTCACTGGACGAGTTTATATGATTATTCTTAAGATAATTTATGTGACATGGTTTGCACCATTCATCATATTTGTTTGTATATCTTTCACCGCATTCTATACAAATTGTCGTCAAATAATCATCGAGAACTAATAAATAATCTTTTGTAATTGGATCTTGAGAAACCCCATAGTATATCATTCTAATGCTATATTCCTTTATTGTATATTCTTTTAATACCTATTAAACATAAACAAATGATTAAAAAAGTATTAAATAATTAAATAATTCTGTATAGAAATTTCGTACCTTATTTAAAAATTTATTACTAAATTCTTTACTATCAAATTCTTCACTATCAAATTCTTTACTATCGAATACTTCACTATCAAATACTTCATTATCAAGACATTTTAAAACAACTATTCTTTTGTTCCAATATCGATCTCTTTTATATTTTTTATACACACTATCCCAATATAATGGGCCATCCTTCCATTTTGCTGTAGAAAAATTACCTTTTCTTATTATTTTAATATTATCAAACTGATTATAAGGTATCAATTCAAATATTTCATCAGTCCGATACTTAATTTTTAATTGCATTGCGTGAATTAAATTATCAATTTTATCATTTCCACTAGTCCAGTCTATTTTATTTTTAAAACATTTTTTTCGACATGATTTACACCATTTATAGTAGCGTGTACTTGGTTTATTTATATACATTGCAGTAATTGCACCACATGTTATACATTTTTTTATATTCAGTTTTTTAAACAAGCTTCGCATTTTGACGAGTGGTTAATACTATAATTACTTTATTATATTTCGCAGCGGATTTAAATGATTTTTAAAATTTTGAAAGAAGAACTAGTATTTTTGTCATACCATGTAGTTAAATATTAAATTAATTACGTACTTTCCTTATCCTTTTTTGTTAATGACAACCGGAGTTTTTATAAATAATAGTTATTTGGTAGGGGTTGACGTCCAAGATCACCATCCTGCATATTCGACTGAAAAACCCAAAATTTTATGGTTAAATAAACTTGGCAACGATCGAGGCGAATAATGCCGGAACGCTTAATATGAACAAAAGATTATACGTAAAAACATCCAAAAAGATTGTGCATTTATTTATTTGCCCCGCCAACTATCATAAAATCATAAATTGAAAACATTGTATCTGTAATCTCACCTATGATGAAATAATTTTGAGTTCACATGAGAATTAAATTCGTCCTCTTGCACATACACTGGCTTCAAAGTCAAGATTCGAAACGACTCACGTCCACCATTACCAGCATTTGCTAAAAAGACAATTAAATTAACAGGAGGAGCATTTGACACGGGTTTTGAAATTTGAGCTTTTTGAGGTAAAGCGTCGTTTTTATGCGCCGCTAACTTTAATAATTAACTTTATGTAGACTTCAATTACTATTATCACAAAATTTTCCCTATTTATTGTATACTTCCACCAAAACTATAACACCATTAATTTTTTTTTTACAATGTTTGTTCAATTACAAACTGATTTTATTTATGTAAAATAAAATTTACATATATATACTCTATAATCAGTGTTGAACAAAAAAATAATCTACCTATAATACCTATACAAAAAATACTATAAATTTATACAAAATATATACTATATAAATATAAAAAATTTTTTTCACTATTAACATGATTAATAAAAATTATATGATATTTTCTAAAAAAAAAAGAAAAAAATAATTTAAATGAATAAAAAAAAATTATTATTATTATTATTATTATTGTCTATATATTTCACAGTCAAAACATTCCGATTTAACAGATTTATCTAAACATTGAATATTATCATCTAAAAATTCTGAAAGATTTTCAAGATTTTCAAGATTTTTTGTAAAAGGATTAATTAAACGAGATGTAAAAACTGCTTCAATATGTTCAATATGAATAGTTGGATTATTATTTTTATTAGAATTTCTATATTTTTCCGCTTCTTTGAATTGTTCTTCAATTTTATCATTATCATCTCGTTTTATTTCATTTCTACAATATGAATTATAAAATGATATAATTAATTTTTCTATTTCAGAAGCGTTCGGTCTATTAATAGGATTTGAATCCCAACATTTTTTCATTAAATCAATATAACATTTAGGTGCTTCCGGCTCATCTATTTCAGGTCTATTTCCTCTGCATATATCTAATACTAGAAGATGATCATGTGCACAATGGGAGAAAGGTTGTTTTTCAGTCGCTATAAAATACATGATCATACCAAAACTATATATATCTGCTGCTTGAGTATAAGGTTTTCCTCTTAATACTTCAGGAGCCATATAAGGCATAACTCCATAAATACATGCTTCATCTATATTATCAATTTCACCACATAATCCCATATCAGAAATATAATTTGAAGTGAATAAATGTAAGTCCTTAAATAATATATTTCCTATATGAAAATCACGATGGACCATCTGTTTTTTATGAATTTCTTTAAGACCATTAATAATATTACTTAAAACTTTTAATTTAATTAACCAATTAAAATATTTTGAATTATGATTCATCCAATAAGTAAAATTTCTACCTTCCGCATATTGAAGGACCATAATATAATCTTTTGTAAATGGATTTTGAGATATTCCAAATATTTTAAGAATTTTATCAAAACTATTAATTGAATATGCTTTAACCTAAAGGTAAAAAAAAAATGGTTAAGTATTTTTTTTTTTTTTTTAAAAAAAAAAAAACGCCAAATGTTTTTTTTTACAATTATTTTATGAAAAAGTACGTTTCAGTACTTTTTATTATGCTAAAACGTATTTTTTTTGTAGTGTATATACTAACATTCAGGGAATACACAATGTTATATTTGAATAACATTACAGCATACCTTTTTATTTAAACTATTTATTTTTTTTTTTTTTTTAAAAAAAAAAAATTGAATTTATGTTTTCATACCTCATTTAAAAATTCGTCGGTTATATTTTGTGAATTATCTAAACATTTTAAAGCAACTTTTTTATTTGAATCTCTTATCCATTCATTTTTATCTTTATAATAATTTAATGGACCATCCTTCCATATAGCTGAATGTACTGTAGCAAAACCACCTCTACCAATTTTTTCAATATTATTAAATTGATCAAATGGTATCCATTCAAATATTATATCAGATGGATCATGAATTTTTAATTGCATTTCTTGAATTAAATTATCAACTTTTTCATTTCCACTTGTCCAATTTATAAAATTATTTTTAAAATAATCTATTTGACATGGTCTACACCATCTATATGATATATCAGTATAAATTTTTTCACATTTTATACAATATATTTCAAAATATTTTTTATCTAGGATCATAATATAATCTTTTGTGATAGGATTTTTAGATACTCCATATATATTAAGTTTTAATCCTTTTAACGAATATTCTTTTAAAATCTAATAATAAAAATACGATCAAAAATTAGTAAACGTAAACGCGTATACGCGTATACGCGTATTATAAAATAAGATCAAATCACATATGTATAATAAAATAAACACACATACCTCATTTAGATTATCGATAATATTTTGTGAATTACCAAGATATTTTAAAGCGACTTTTTCATTTGAATTTCTTGCAAAATCTTGATTCTTAAAATTATGATATAAAGGACCATTCTTCCATATAGCTGAATATAATTTATTAGAACCATATTTTCCTAATTCTTCAATATAATCAAATTGACTGTATGGTACCCATTCAAATAAATTATTAATTTTTAATTGTATTTCTTGAATGAAATAATCAATCTTTTCATTTCCACTAGTCCAACTTATAAAATTTTTTTTAAAACAATTGATATGACATGGTTTACACCATTTATAAATTATATTTGTATATAATTTATCACATATTGCACAATATTTTACAAAATATTTATCATTAAGAACCATAATATAATCTTTTGTAATTGGATTTTGAGATATTCCATATATATTAAGATTAAATCTCTTTATTGAATATTCTTTTAAGATCTAAAAAAAAAAAAAGAATTTTATTGGTTAATGTATTTAATATTTAATAGAACAGCCAATAAAAAAAAAATTTTATGTTCATTACCTTATTTAAACATTTTTTGGAGACATTTCGTGAATTATTTAAATATTTCAAAGTAACAGATTTATCAGATTCTCTTATATACCTCTTTTTATTATAATGTAAAGGACCATCCTTCCATATTGCAGTATTAAGATAACCTTTTCTTATTTCAATAATATTATTAAATTGATCATATGGTATCCATTCAAATATTATATCCTGTGGATCATTAATTTTCAATTGCATTTTTTGAACCAAATCATCAATTCTTTCGTCCCCATTATTTGTAAAATATTTTTTTAAATCATTTAATTGACATGGTTTACACCATTCATAATATGTATTTGTATACATTTTATCACATTTCACGCAATATTTTACAAAATATTCACCATCAAGAACCATAAAATAATCTTTTGTAATGGGATTCTGAGTTAATCCATATAATAAAACATTATTTTCAAGTCTCTTTATCGAAAAATCCTTTAAAACCTAATAAATCACGAAACAAAAAATTATTATATTATAAAAAGAGTTTTAACTTTTAAATAGAATATGTAGAATTTGATATAAAAAACAACTTTTGTTATATTAGTCCAAGAAAAATTCATACCTTATCCAAGTAATCATGAGAAATATTTTGTGAATTACTTATATATTTTAAAGCGACTTTCTTATATGAATCCCTTACATATAATTCACCCATTTCTTTAATTTCTTTATCAATCATCTCATCGTTAAGATTATAATATAAAGGACCATCATTCCATATTGCTGAATATGTTTTAATAAAATTACTTTGATTAATATCTTTAAATTGATTATATGGTATCCATTCAAATAATATATGAAGTGAACTATCAACTTTTAATTGCATATTTTGTATAAAATTATCAATTATTTCGTTACCACTAGTCCAATCTATAAAATAATCTATTTGACATGTGTTACACCATTCATGTAAAATATTTGTATATATTTCTCCACATTTCTCACAATATTTATTTTCAATTACAATAATATATTCTTTTGTGTTTGGATCTTGAGATATTCCATATACTTTAATTTTATCGCTAAATTTCCTTATTGAAAATTCTTTTAAAGCCTATTAAATAAATATATAAAGTTATAAAGAAACTTTTTTTTAAAAAAAAAAATTAATAAAAAAAAATATATATATTAAAAAATTTACCTTTTTTAAAAAATTTTCATTACCAAGATATTTTAAAGCAACCAATTCATTAGAATTTCTTAAAAATTCTTTATACTTATTATTCCAATATAAAGGACCATCCAACCAAATAGCCGAATATAAATGATTTTCATTATTACTATTTATTTTTTCAATATTATTAAATTGATTAAAATTTATCCATTCAAATATTATATCATCTTTTAAATTAAGTATTTTTAATTGCATTTTTTTTATTAAATTATCAATTATTTCATTTTCATTTTCACTTTTATAATTTGTAAAATTTTTATAATAATTTATTTGACATGATTTACACCATTTTTTATATGTATTTGTATGTATTACATTACAAATTACACATCTGTTTGTTAATATTTTAAAAAAATTTCTCATTTGAGAAATAATTTATTATTATACTTTATTAGTTAAAAAGAGATTTTTTTTTGTGTAAAGAATATTATAAAAGAGATTTTGTTTTTTTTGTGTAAATAGATTTGCGTAAAAGAATTTGTGTAAAAGAGATTTTCGTGTAAAATAGTGTAGAGTTTTGAGTTATCGTGCGTGTTGCGATTTTGCAGATTTTTGCTTTTTTTTTATGTAAAGAATATTTTTGTGTAAAAAGAATGTTTTGTGTTAAAAGATTTACAAGATTTTCGTGTAAAGAATGATTTTTTGTGTAAAGAGATTTTCGTATAAAAAATTTCTTTTTTTTTTCACGTTTTATAAAAAAAAAATTCACCTTTTTTTTAAAAAAAAAAAATTTCAAATTTTCTCAACCTTTTTAAAAAAAAAAATCTTACCGTTTAGAAAATAATGGAAATGGTAAAAAACTTACCGATGTTAAATTAAATCATCTTGTGAAACAAGATAAACAAAGATGCGGGTTGAAATTAACAATCATTGGAATTCATTTATTAGTTCATCATTATAAATCACATTAATCACATTAAAAAAAATTCATTATTAATCAAATAAAGATATTTGATAATTTATAAAGATAATTTATAAAGATAATTTGATAATTAGTAATTATTTTAATTATTTATTATTTATTTTTTATTATTATTATTATTTGATCTTCGTTTTATTTTTAATATTTTTTTTAATATAAATTATTTTGATTTTCTTTTTTTTTTTAAAAAAAAAAGAAGAATTAAAAATTCCGGTTTTCAATCAAAAAATTTTTTTTTAAATCCTGCAATTTGATGATCAAATTCTTTTAAAAAGACATTCGTAAAAATAAAGATATTTGATAATTTATAAAGATAATTTATAAAGATAATTTGATAATTAGTAATTATTTTAATTATTTATTATTTATTTTTTTTTATTTTTATTTTTATTTTTATTTTTTTTTTGATCTTCGTTTTATTTTTAATCCTTTTTTTAATATAAATTATTTCGATTTTCTTTTTTTTTAAAAAAAAAGAATTAAAAAAAGAATTAAAAATTCCGGTTTTCAATCAAAAACATTTTTTTTTAAATCCTGCAATTTGATGATCAAATTTCTTTTAAAAAGACATTCGTAATAAGATTAATAGCATTGATAGCATAATAAAAATTAACAATGGAAATGACCCTAATAAGTTAATTTCTTTTTTTTTTTTAAAAAAAAAAAAAGATGCATAGACGTGAGGAGTTCAAACCTTCACAAGTTCCAAAAATGGGAATGAAAAACATGAATTTTCTCAAGGTGAATTAGAAGCAAAAAAAAATTTTTTTTGTAACACGTCCCACTGCAATTATGGGCCGGGTTCAGGACTTTAGGAGTTAAAAATAACTTTATTATTATTTTATAGGTCCTTGGATCTGCTCCGGATCGGCGCATGATCGAGTATCGGAACTAACTACATTTACCATCTCTAGTAATCATTATATTATTTTTCTACCAATTATCATTTATTATTATCGTCATAATCATTGTAGCAACGAATTGTTTCATCGTATTTATAAATACAATTTTTTTAAGTTTAGGTAGTTTCGATATAGGGTTATATGTTATACCGAACAGATAATAGTACTACCGAAACCGCCTATTAAATATATATTGATACATTGATACGCTATTAAAACACTGACAACTATTAAATACATACCGGTACGCTATTAAAATGATACGCAGCCATTCCCTACCGATACGCTATTAAATATATACTGATACGCTATTAAATACTGATACGCTATTAAATACTGATACGCTATTAAATACTGATACGCTATTAAATACTGATACGCTATTCAATATATACCGGTGCGCTATTAAACACCATTAAACGCTATTAAATGCTGATACGCTATTCACTATTCAATGTCGATACGCTTACCTCTTAATTACCGATACTTACTATATACGAGAATAATACTAATAATTTTACAAATTTTTAATTCTAGCGAATTATATCACACACTGGTATTATACAGTATATGACGAAAAGGGTAGTAACAATTTATTTATTTAAAAATAAAAGGAGAATTGTACAATACATGATATTTACGTAATGGAAAACGAACCGGGAGAGAGAGATTAAAAGAAAAAGAACTTTTTTTTTTTTTTTAAAAAAAACCAAATATTTTCTAAGTATTTTTTTTTTTTTGATTAATTAAACAGTCTATTTATTCCTTTCTATTAAAGATATTATCTTCCTATATAATAAAACCAACTGAAGATATCATCTTATATACAATAAAGTCATCTAATTATATATAAAGCCAAGATATTATTATTGCTTACAATGCCAAGACATTATCCCCTTAAAAAGCCAAGAAATTATTCCCTTACAAAGACGTGACATTATCACCTTACAAAGTTTGACATTATCCCCTTACAAAAGCCTTACAAAGCCAAGGTAACAAAGCCAAGGTAACAAAGCAGCCAAGGTATTATCCCCAATGTATTACCACAATGCATTATCCCCAATGCATTATCCCCCAATGTATTGTTCCCAATGTATGTATTATCCCCTATGTACCTAGGTTATTATCCCCAACGTATTATCTCCAATGTATTATCTCCAAAATTCCAACGTAATATCTCCCAATTGTATTATTCCAAACTTATTATAATAAAGCCAAAATATATTCTTCATCTTTTGATAATCTAATAATGTTATCGTTTGAATAATCGTTTGAATCGTTTGAATCGTTTGAATCAACATTAACATGAACATTATCATCATCATCATTATTATTATTTTCATTATTGATATCATAATTAATATCATCATCATTATCTGATACAATTGTTGTATTGGTAAAACTAGTATTAACTGCTGTTACAGTTTGAGTCTTCTTTTCATCATCATCATTACTATTATTATTACTATCATCATTATTATTATTATTACTTTCATCATCATTATTATTATTCTTCTTGATATCAATTTTTTTTTCATCATTATTATTTAAAAATAATTTAACTCTATTAAGACCATTAATCCAAATTTTTTTCATAGCAGGATCAAAACAAAATGCTAATGCATTAAATATACCTTGAGAACTTGTACCAATATTAGCCAACATTTGAAAAGTGAAATGATTCTGTTTTGTAGAAAAAAATAATAAATTTGAAGCAATATTAAAAAGAAAAGTTATTATAGGTACTATAGGATAAACTACTATACGTTTTACAGCTCTATTAACCATTAATTGACGTTTACAATTATTATTCTTAATAAAATTATTATTAGAATTTGTATTATTCATTTCTTTCATAAATTTAGTTGCTTTATGTAAACGATTAATTATAGTAAAAACAGCATAAGTACAATATAATACTGATAATATTATCCAACCATGTAAAGTAGTCCATTGCCATATAACGGATTGTGTAGTATTTCCACGTTTATACCAACAACTAACTTCTTCTTTATCATAACCAAGAGCATCAAATAAAACCGGTACAATACTTAAAGTAAAAGCTAAAATTATAGGAACTATAATATAAAATTTTTCAAAATGTCTTGTACTTAGATAATTATAAACAAAAATTATTTGAAGATTAAAAGCGATAGCGACGGAATAAAAGCAACCTAATAAAGCAGTAAATACAAATCCCCAAGGTGATACATGACACACCCAATTACCAGGAGGATTTGAATTAACTGTCATAATCTTTAAAAGAGAAAAAAAGGGGAACATTAATGTAATGTAATTTGCTTAAGAAAGCGATTATATAACAACATAACGCGTCTTTACCTGAAAAGCTGCAAAGAACATATCAACAGTGGAAACGTAAGATTGTAAACGTAATGAAACACGGTTTGATACTTTTTTATGTTTTTTTCGCAAATATATAACCATACAAACAACAAGGAATGCGGAAAACATTGATATAGAATTCAAAATTTCGCTTGTATTTTTGAATACTAAGCCTTCGTAAGCAGCTTTAGATTCTGTGAATTGATCTTTAACCATTTTGAAAAGTGAAAAGCGAAAATGACCAAAATAAAAGTGGAAATGAAATTTAATTTTTATAAAGGAAAAAAAAAAAAAGAAAAAAAAA